ATTAGCTTGCTGAAGAGGGAGCATGCAGGTGGGGGAAGGGCTGCTGAAACTAGAGGGATGTGTGGGGAAACAGGAGAACAAGGACTATGAGAAGGGACATGCAGAGACACACTAGGGTTTGGGGAAGAGCAGGAGCAGAGCTGGGAAGAGGAGAGGTAGAAGTAAGAGGGGGGAGGGCAGGAGGGGTTGGAGTGACCCGCTGCTGACTTAGTGCATCTTTGTGTAAATGTGATACTGATGTCTGATTCCTCTTCATTCCTTCTCCTATATTTAGCTTAGGGAAATTGCTACATTTGTATGTTTTGTTTTTCTCTCCTTTTGCTGGAGCCAACGGAAACTGTTGCAAATCCCCCTTGAAACAACACCAGCTTTATATCTGCATATGGGTGCATAGCTGTGCCTATGTAAGATGTGGCTGTGTCTTCATGGAGGCTTGGCAAACTCTCCAAGAAACCTTTCGCTGCTTCCTTGTTGGCTGTCCCAATTGGTTAGAGAAAGCTCAGGTCACCTGCAAGAACCTCTGACATAGCTCTTAGAACCAATTCTGGCCTTTGTTTGTGTTTGTCTAAAATTACCTGAATGCCCCGCAAGAAAGATGAGCCCTGGGAGAGGTCCCACAGCCAAGTGCCAAGTTGTTTTTAAAAGCTGCTTGTATCAGGAAGGTGTACTTGAAGGTTGTGGATGACATCATAGACCTAGAAATAATACTTTTAAATATATGTGCAGTTGCCAATGGCTTCTGCCTGAACCAGTGTGCAAACAAACTGGACACCTGATCTCAACTGGCTGGGATATGGCTTGTGCAGCAGTAATCCACACAGCAGTGAACGGTTTCTATAAACGTCCTGGAAATCAGAATATCGTCATGGATCAAAGGTGTTGTGGTCATTAAGCTCTGTCCACTGCTGCAGAGAAGATATGATTTTGTGCTGAAGCAAGGGTGCTAACAAGTGTTCACCTTCTAAACAGCCAGTGTGCACCAGACTGGATGTTTCTCTGTACAGGTCCCATGTGAGGCTCTTTAGTACCTAGCACTAGTATTCATGTTGCCACTAGCATGTAAAAAATTTTCTTTAGGCAAGGCTATCCTGAGAACTTGAACTTGCTTTGAAAGCTTAAATTCAGGGAAAGTGGTGGGGGGAAGGGGAAGGAGGAGGCAATGAGGCCATCATAAAAGTTACTTGGGCTACGTCTACAATTGGGAGTTAAGAATGCAAAGATCAATACCATCTTCCCTTGTGTTCTTTCCACTTCTTTGCTGTAAAATACTGAACATAGTCTTATGAAGACATGGTGGAGGTTGGATAGATGGGTGGATGCTTTATATGTAACTAATTTTCCATGGTAAATATTTTATTTTTTTAATTAGGGCAAGATTAAAGCCAACACAAACAGAAAAGAATAGATGCTTTGAATCTCCTAAGGGCTTGGTAACCCTACTTGACTTGCAGGAGGTTCTGCTCAAAAGTGACTTGCTGGCTTTGGCGGGTGCAGGGACTGCTGTGGGGCCACGTAGAGCTGAGCTGAGCTGCAAGTGTCTGAGCAGGCACTTGAGACTGCTTTGAACGCTCGGAAGAGGTTAGAGTTCTGGAAATGGTTTATTGCTGCTCTTCAAAGAGATATACTCTCTGGGATGGAGTGCACTAGACACCTTCCCAAGTATTTTGACTACAGGCCAGCTTTAAAAGTCAGGTGCTCCTGAGTCCCAGAACAGTATCTATGTGGTATGTGGCTGCCGTTCTGCTGAATAAGGTATCCTTGGAGTTGGCTGGAGTCTTCCTTGCTCTTATATAGGGCAGGCAGAAGGGTGCTGGCAGAAAATTAGCATGGGATAGCAGCAGTGGGGTAGCTTTTGTTGGGTAACAGATACCTTAAGAAACAAGGTTTAGAAGATTAGTTTAGTGTAGCTAAATCAGTTTATTTCTTAAGGCTATAGAAGACCATAACCCAGTAAGCAAGTTTCATTTACAACCCACCATAACCACATGCAATCTTGTCTCAGTATGTCTGTGAGTTAAAATTACTTTTCCGTGACATAAAGAGATATTTCTTATCTCTCCCTCTGCCCCAACCAGAGTTGTTTAACAATGGGTTGTAAACTCTGCGACTTAAACATACGGGTGCCTTAATACAGAGTTAAAATATCTCTATCTGGTGGTCTGACAGTAAAACCTGTGCGACTCTTGGACTGGTTTGCTGATTCCCCTTGGTGCGTGAACTGGGTGACTCTTATCTTCACTGTGGAGTTTTGACTTTCTTTCCCACTTCTTAGCTCTCAGTGAAGCCTGCAGGGAGACAGCCTTGCAAGGGAAAGACCAACTGTGGAGGGCATTTGAGCTAAAAATCATGATTGTAAGTGGCCAGAGGCGCAGCTGTGTAAGTTAATAATGGCAAAGCCCTGGACCCTGGTTGTTCACTGTACTATTGTAGGAAATGGTGTGTTTATTTGCTCTCTTGGTTTGAAGACCATGGTTTGTTTTTTGCCTCTTTCCTGTATTTTTAGATTGTGTTCACTTCTATGAAGTCCTGTTTTTGTGCAGAGTTCCTTGTAATAAAACACAAAGGGACTTAAATTAAAAACCTGCATAGGAAAGTCTTCAATGGGATTTTTTCATCTTTCCTTTATTCTTTATAGTATTTTCTGAAGCTTATTTTGAGCAACTTATCCCTGTCATAACTCAGCAGGATTTTGGTCCATGTAACTCTACCCAACTTCACGTAGTGTGGTTTTGTCTTTTAGCTAGAGGCTTGGAATGAGATAGATTTCCACATCTGCCAACTTCCTATTTCATGTCTAACGATTTGCGAGGCTTAACCTTCCCTGACTTACTACTGGATCACAAAACACCTACTTCTTTACACTAATCCTACAGAAATAAGTAGCATAGCTTTGACTTGTGACTTTCCAGGTTGGTTCCCTGGCACAAAAACCACAGAAGGATCGATCGCAGTTGGAACAATCTGCTTATTTACGCTTTTGCTGCTGTTCCGCAAGGTTACCTTTCCAATCATGATTGCCTGCATTAACATATCGGAAAGACCGATGCTTTTCGCCTTCTGTATAGTGTGTGTGGGTAGACCACCAGGGCTATTCTTGTGGAGCACCGTAGGTGGAAGTGTATAGAGTTGTCTAATGGGGGGGGCCGCATCTTGTGCATGGTGGATGCCTTGGAGTTTGAAGCTTTCGTACCTTTTTGGAATCCGCTTTGAGGTAGCGATGTTAATGAAGTGTGACAGCTTTGGCCAAAGACGCTTGCTCTTGGTGCGTCAGTCCTCCTTTGTGTTCTCTTTTCCAGTTTAAAATTTACACTGCTCCTGGCAGGGTATCCCTGTCAGACCAAGTGAAAGGCTGACTGCCTGGGCCAGGCAAGGAGATGCCAACCCCCGTGGAGCCGTTGCAGCTATGACCTTGTCAAACCTGAGCTGCACCTGCAGCACAGAGCTCTGGCTGCTGCTGGGACCACGGAGGAGGGGGCCTGAAAAGACGCTGGCTTTGCCCTGGGCAGTGTGGCGCTGAGGGGTGCTTAATCCTGGCTAAAGCCCTGTGCTTGAGAGTGTGCGCTGTGCATCTGAAAATGTTTGTGAGGCCTGTAGATGAGGCACTGCAGCAACTTTCTGCGATGCATCGGCTTTTGGCTTTCTACTTGGCTATGTCAGGCTGAGGCGTTCTCTGTCCCCGGCCTGTTTCTCCCCAGGGCTGGTGCCCACAGCCTGGCGCACGCTGCGGGCAGGCCCTGTGTGCTGTGACTTGCACCAGTGGCAATGTGGCTGAAGTCCCTGGTGCAGTGAGGGCTGTTGGAGCTGGAGCACAGGGCACCCTTTAGTGCTCTAATGGCACCGCAGCAGTGGAAGCAGCCAGCACTGTTGGAGCCCAGCGGTGTGTGGCAGGCGGCCTCTCCTCTCACAGAGCTTGGTTTTTAACCACAATTTCTATTTTAGAGGTGAAGTAAGTTAGGGCATAAAGTCATTAGAGAGTGAAGATTGTTCTACCTAAGGCCAATTTTCCCTTCCTTTTTTCACTTGTTAACACTTAAGGCTTTTAAGCGGGGGCAGTTAGAGGCTGTGTGTGTGTGTGTGTGTGTTCCTGTTATGTCTGGCTGCTGTTCCCTCCTCCAAGACAGAGGCTGTGTCATGAGGATTTTAAAAAATTACGTGGAGGGTGTGGAAGAGACAGTGCCCAGGAGTGCTCCAGGCTGCTCGTGGTAGGCAGAGGCGCCAAGACAGTGTACTATTGGTAGGATTTGTGGGGAAGTGGGGCCTTTTCTCCTTCACCCTCCTCCCAGTCACTGACTGTTCCCCTCCTGAGGGAGGCAATTATATTGCTTAACAAGAGGTTGCTGCTTTTTGCTTTTGCGGTTCATCTTGCTGAGAGGTTTCTGCAGAGCCCCCAAGCAAGTTGTTTGTTCAGATATTTTTCTCTTGGGTCAATAGGTTCTGACATCGTGCTTCTCACTACCTAACTGGCCAGAGACCTCTCCTGCTACGTTCAATGACTTTCTGTCCTGCCTTGTATTATGGGCAAGGCACAGAGAACTAGCTCTTTTTTCCTGAGAGCTTTTTCAAAAGATCCCCTCTTTTGTTGTTCTTGACTTTCTCACTTGAGAAACCTGCCGGTTTGGTGTCTGGAACGTAGGGTCCCTTTCATGGCAGGGGACCTAATCTACTGGGGCTGCCGTTGCATAGACTTTCATAATTAACCTTTCTGTCCAGCTTGAGCAATCAGAGATTCAGAGCTCACAAACGCTAGGAGGTAAGTTATTTATGGTACAATACTCCTTGATGTGAGAGACACTTGCTATTTCTTCTCCTCTGGGCTGCTCTTTTCCTTTGCAATTTCCAGTTGACCACAGCTCAGACTGTGAGATTAGGGGATGAAGTGGCTCTTTGGGGCTACCTTTGCTTCTGCTCGGCCAACAAGGATGGCTCTATTTGTTTTTCTTCATGCCTGTGGCTCTTATGTCAGCTATTTTGGTTTTTTTTTCTCTTTTTCTTCCATCTAGATGTGTTGTTGTGCTGTTCAACCCTAGAAAAAATAAGCAACATCATATTCTAAACAGCTCCAGGTGAGTGAAGTTTCAGGTTGGGCTTGTTCTCTGTGGGAGGTGAATGTCAAGGTTTTTATGACTTGAGCAAAGTATAAGAGCTGCTGAGGAGACTGTTGCTCCGAGATAAATTCCTGCAGTGAGAGCTGCCTTGGGCAGAGGCTGCCTGCCAGTTCGCCTGTAGCTCCTCCTAATGTGAACTGCTCTTGCTGACTAGGCAACACTTCATAAATATTGTGGCCACATGAGCTGTTAAAAGGCATGACATGGAGGAGGTCTCACCAGAACCCCATGGTGGTGTCTGTGTATGATTTTTTTCCACCTGAAAATGTCACCTTGTTGTTGGAGCCAGGACTGGGATATGGCCCTGCAGCTGGAATAAAGTCCTGGATAGGAAGGTGAGCCTCAACTTTTGGACCTTTTCTGGTGCTGTAGGCATGCTGCTAAAGATCTGGGCAGCAGGGAATCCCCATGGCAAGTGTTAGACTTCTGGTAAAGAGAAACTATTGTCAGGCTATTATGTGTAATTTGAGCTGCTTTTTAGTCTGTCCTAACCTCCTCCTGACTCATGACATATTGAAATGAAATCTCATGCTGGAAATGTTTCTCAGTGTCATTCTTCTTGTTTTAGGAAAACAATCACAGCTCTTGCTTTCTCTCCAGATGGAAAATATCTGGTTACAGGAGAGGTAAGTGTGAGAGGAAAGAGGGCACCCTTTGTCCATCCCATTTCAGAGTAGGGTGGAGGATGTTAGAAAGAAAATTTGGGAGAATTTGGGTCCTGTAAAATCCCTCCTGCTTTTTGACAGGACTACAGCCACTGAAATATCAACAGAAGAAGCCTCTGAGCTGCTTTTGTATAGGGAAATATATTTTAGCGTTCCATCTCTGTGTGGATCTCCTGAGTTATGGGCAGCTTTGGGTGCTCCTGCTAAGAGTGTTTTGATGTGCTGTTCCCTCTGGTCAGTTTGGGGGGGGTGTTCTGGAGTGGCCTCTGAGCTGAAAATAGAGTGAAAATAAGTGGAAGAATATAGAACACTGCTCTACTCTAGCATGAATGAAGAGGACTTGGTCCTTATTCTTCGATCGAGTTTAGGATTGTCCCTTAGGGATTTTGGGAAGTAATTGAAGCCAGTAACAGTGTTGTGGAAAAAGTGAAAAGTGCATGTGGAATGGAGCTTTAGGAACAGTGACAAAAGATGCTGGTGCCTGTGGTTTGGCATTGAGTGCTTGGCTGCTGGCGACAATTGCTTCCTCCCCTCAAACATATTTAAGGGGGGGAATAAAGATGACTGCACTGCGTGTCTGTTCTGCATTAGAAGTGCAAGACATGGACTGTGTGTCATGAATTTGGAATTACTGGGTGTTAGAAATCCACAGAAATGTTGACTGTCCCCCTTATGGTTGGGCTCAGTTTGCTCTTCTGTGATACTAATGGCAATTTAGCGCTAGACTCTGTGCCTCTGTAAGCCATTGGTGAGCATGTGCAAAATCAGGTCCCCTCCTGAGCCTCAGCCGCAGAGAAGTACATCACAAGCCTGTGTTAGAGCTGTCAGGAACGAGGCTGTTCACTCCAGAGGTCCCTAGTTTGGTTCCTGTGATGGCAGCTGTCATGACAGTGGGTGGCTCCCTAGCTAGGACTGAATCCCTGTTGATCAGGCATAGGGTAAAAATGATAGTATTTTGGGATGGAGGTTACCTCAACGCAACAAAAGTAAGGGCAAATTTTCCATCAGAGATTGTTGTTGTTGTTACCCTTTTAGTGAAAGGATGAGATTTTACAGCTGAAATTTTTGTTTTTTAATCCCTCCTTATACTTGAGAAGTCTTAATGTATACAACATTTTTATAAAAATTGATATATTTATATTTCTGTGTGTATGCATCTTTTAATTATAAAAGAATTATATATCTTTTTCTCCCCAGTGTCCTATTCTGATGATCTTGGTGGTTGTGGATTTTTATTTTATTTTTTATTTTTATTTTTTGTAAATCTCTGCTGCTCTGTTCTTTTCATGTGGTGCAGGAAAAGTAGTGAAAAGAAGTGGATATTTTTTCTGCTGGCAACGTAAACATTTCAGTTTGAAACTGTTTTCGGGTAAATGGCAAGCTTTGATTAAAAATAGTCTTTCCAGTTATACTTGAAAGCTTTTTTGCCATGTTGCAAAACGTGTCTCTACTTGCCCTGTTCTAAAACCACTTCTCATTTTGGTATCCTCTCAAATGCCTGAAATCTGAATTATTAATTTGTATAGTAGTGCCCCCTGCTGGTGTCAGCAGTCTCTTCTTAATTCAACCTCTGTCCGGTAGGAGGTCCCATTGGGAAGAGGGACTGAGCTCAGTTACCGAGTTCCCTTTGCGAAGATCACTTTTAGCCCTTGTGCTAGTTCTGCATCCTAACTCCTTAGTTTTTTACATGACTGGCTTTTCAGGAGGGAGGTTGCAGAGGTTATTCCTTGGCCTGCCGTAAATATTAAATGTCTTTTTGAATATTTCAAATGCAGAGGAAAATGGATTTTTTTTTCTTCCTCCCCATGGAGGAGTAAATTCCTTGTCCATGGGGCTTTCATAGAGCTTGCTGTTTGTGAGCATCTATTGCATTATTGAATATGAATCAGTTTGCCAGCATGTTAGGGTGGACACTAAGATGCTGGGAAATAGATACATATATATATTTTTTAAGTAGAGCAATTATTTTGAAAAGCAGCTTGTTTGGCTCATTGTAACATCTTGACAGCAACCTTGAGACCTGAGCTCTACCATACAAGAAGAACTGCACCAAATACAGTAAAATCTGACCACAGCACTTTTCCAGGCCACAAGAAGTTGCTTGGCAAAGCTGTTAATTGAGACAACTAAACATTCACAGTTCTGAGTTTCTAAAGCTTTGATTTCTCCTTCTTGTGATCAGACTTACCTCTCCCACGCAATCAAATGACTGACTTAACCCTGATCAGAAAAGGCACTATTTTGCCTTGTTGCCATGGAAATGTTATTTTGCAAGCTACCTTTTTGAGAGACTTCTATGTGAATTCATGAGTAAGCTCTTGAGTAGGATTTGCCTATCAGGCACATTCTTGGCCAGCATTTCAGCTTGCCTTGTGCTTCTCATTTGATTTAATAACAAATAATTAAAGAAAAAATAGAATTGTCTGCCAGAAGGTGCTGCATTGGCATTTCTGAGTCTATGACCTTCCGTTTCTCTGGAGACCGAGTGTAAAAACAGAGAGTCTGTTTCTGTTCTGTCTCTGTCTGACACTACCTTGCCCATGTTTGTTCAGGCAGCATGCATTCCTGTGGTTCCTTTGTGGCAGAAATGATGCTGCTAGCCTCCCATAGGCCTTCCTGAGGTGCTGTGCGATAATTGACATAAACAGTCATATCATGTTTTTGTGATGACATGCCCTGGTTCGATATCTCCAATGTCCATATTGTGTTAGGAGCAGAGGATGTGAGGGTCTTTGGGTTCAGTAATCACATAATGCTTTTTGTGAGTTCCCACAAATGGAACTGACAAATGGGCTGTGAGTTGCCATTGCCAAAGATTAAGGATGGGCATGAAAAGCATTGTTCTAGCCTTTGGCTGTTTGAGGGGGAGGGTAAGAAAGGGATTGAAGGAGGGGAAGGTTTTTTAATTCTTTCAGGGACCTGCTGAAATGCCCACTCTCGTTAGATTTGCAGTGTCAGCTTGGGCTTTAAAGAGTCAAAGGAAGCAAGTTCTAACCTCTCTATGGTGATTGCAACATCAACACATCCTTTTCCAAGCTCTTATGCATTTGTGTGCACGAATCTGTCAGAACTGACCTCAGGAGTTGCACTTCCTGTTCTGTACCTGTCTTGTCCCCTCTAGAGTGGACACATGCCTGCTGTTCGGGTATGGGACGTGGCTGAGCGGACCCAGGTGGCTGAGCTCCAGGAGCACAAGTATGGCGTGGCCTGTGTGGCGTTCTCCCCCAGCTCCAAGTACATTGTTTCAGTGGGGTACCAGCATGACATGATTGTCAACGTGTGGTCATGGAAGGTAAGTTCTCCAAGAGTTTGGGTGGACCACAGGGTCAATAAACATGATTTCAGTTCTGTCTTGCTTTCTGCCTTTTTTTTCTTTTGACATTAATAGACGCAGACAAGTTTGGACATGGGAGAGAGCTGTGGTCCCTTAGGGATGGTGTAAATCACTTCGATGAAGGGTTATTCTCTATATTTGGAGACACATGACATCTTGCTGCCTAGTCAGAAAAGCCTAGGCTTCTGAAACCTTGTCAGAGCCTTGTGGCTTTTTAGAGACTCATTCAAAAATAATTCATGGAGTTGAGGAAGGAAACTCTCACCAGCCAGGGATTCCTTTTTTGATATAGTGAATATTCTTGAATTGTTTTGTTTTCATTGTGTCGGGATTTGTGATACTCTAATCCCGTCCTTGACCTATATAGGAGAAAGGGAACATACATAGAGCACAGTGGCCACTCTGTGTGCTGTTGGGTTGGGGCGGTATTCTGTGGGAAATAAAATCTGTGTCTTTTTGTCTAGAAAAACATGTAAATGTGCTCTGTTGGTATCAAAAAACATACATATATTGCCAGGCTCACATTACATTGGTTTGGAGTCTTCTGTGTTAATTAGAGCTAAGCATTTATGCTTTTTCTAGTTTTGAGTCAGTTCCTGCAACCTCTTCAGGCCCTGTAACATTCTCTAGAAGAGAGAACATTTAAAAATTGTGTATGACCATTGAAACAAATGTTAAATCTCACATTATTCAGCTTGTAAGTCTGTGCTCGTTTAGTACGTTAACCTCTTCATCACGCTTCCTGGGCTGTACTTGAAGCGCTCTCGGTTAGTCCTCTCCTGCATGAGCGGAAGTTTGACCTTGCTATTTTTTTTGTATAGCTGAGTTGTATAGTGATAAAACATAAATGTCTATGTCAATGTGGAAAAGTGAGCGTTCAGCCTTTTGATTCTTTTTAGTCACACAAATCCAAGTAGGGACTTTGAGGCAGACATAATGCATGGTATGTATGGGACTGAGTACAGGCAGGTTTGTTCTACCTTGCTCATGCAAGCTTTTCTGCTTACTGTGATCCTGTTTGTTTATAATTATTTGCCTGAGAGCTTATAAGGTAAGAACTATTCTACTCTTCTGTGTTGAAGAACACACTCTCTAAATATACATTCCAGACTCTGTCAGGAGATACAGCTAGCCTGCATTTTGCAAACTGGGTACTAAAACTAGAGAGATTTGACTTGACCAAAGTCAAAGAAAACTGAGAGACAAAGAATTGAAACCAGATCTCCTGAAGTGCTTCCCTGCACCTTTAACCACAACCTATCTTTCATCCACTGTGCTGCAGCTTCCATTTCCCTGTTTCTCCAGACTGGGAGACTTGCTCAGTCGTTTGATTGTGATGAAAAAGCAAACCCCAGTCGTTGGTAGGGTCCCCTTGCTTCTATAAAGAAAAGCCACAGTGGTGATCCGCATGTCGAGGCCTGCAAAGGCTCTAGAGCTTTCTCTGTGTGCTCTCTTGAAGGAATTTGTGTTAATGGCTGTACCCCTCCCTTCTCCCTTAGTCTGGGTTGGAGGGTCCTGCTTGGTGCTGCAGCCTGGCCTCCTCTGTTGCCTCTAGCTTCAGTTCTGTATGCACCCTGGCTGACAGGGCCCGTGGAGTTTGTGTGCCGAGGGCCCTGTAAGAAGGGGTAGAGGAAAGAGAGCGAGTGTCATAAACATCTCCCCTGGTACCTTGTTGTCAGTCACATACTACAGGGATGAAAATTCACCATAGACAGAGGGGAAGGGGAAAGTGTTTTAATTTGCACTTCTGTTGATCCCAGGAGAATGGGAGGGAAAGAAAATTGAGCACTAATATTGTGGGCAGGGAGTTCCTGCCGTCTAACCGTTCTCCTCAGACAGTGTCCATTCCCCTTCTCTGTCCTTCCCATCACCTTCCCCCTTTTCGCAAGCTCTTTGACCGTTTCAGGTGCATAGAGAAATGTAGCAGGCTTTGCTTTTGTCTCTTCTGGTATAGGGCAGAAGTGGTCTTTTTATGGTTTTTTTTTGTCTTTCTGTAAAGCTGCTTTTCTTGTAGAGAAGAGAAAATTTATGGAGGATCAGGTAGCATTTTCCCTGTGGAAAATAGCTGTTCCCCATCTTGAGCGCCTTGCTCTCATTGCTGCCTGGAAGCTAGGAGAGCCCCTGCTGGTGCTGGCATGCATGTGCCTTCCCTGTTTTTAGTAAGAGAAATGGATTTGCGATGAGCTCCCTGTGACTGTGAACCAACAGGTCAAGGCTCAGAAAGCACATCCGTGCAGGCACTAGTGACTGCTGACTTGTTCTTGGTCTCAGTCAATGTGGAAGTGGGATTGAACATAAACGTGAATTCTACAATCTACCAAATCAGTGCTCCTAGCTAATGCTAGGGAGGTTGTATTCAGGGGTAAATAGGGATGGTTTTTGCCTGCTGCAACTCATGTGTTGAATGTATGCCTGCAGTTGAAATGACTTTTCTGTGACTCTCAGCAAAGAAATTAAGCTACGTAAACAATTATATTTCCAGAAAAACATTGTGGTGGCAGCCAACAAGGTATCAAGTAAAGTGACAGCTGTGTCATTCTCGGAGGACTGCAGTTACTTTGTCACTGCTGGAAATCGGCATATCAAGTTCTGGTACCTAGATGACAGCAAAACCTCCAAGGTAAGAGAAGCTGTATCACGGCCAAACTGTGAGCAGACACTTCCGTCTCACAGCAATGTGGATTTTGCTGTGGGAACTGGGAACCCTTTATTTTCCTGAGATTCAAGGCTGGCTCCCAACCTCTGGCGCTCAAGCCTCAATCTCCCCATGGGCTGGTAGCAATTGCACACTGCAGTGGTACCAAAAGCTTCTCTTATGCTGGGGCAGGGATATGGTGCCTGGGGTTGCAAAGCAGCATATTTGTTCTTTAGTAGTTATGCATGCAAAAAAAAAAAAAAAAAAAAAAGTTGCAGTCCTTGAGCTCCTTACAGCACAGAGACTGGGAGAGCTGCTTGATGTGGATTTGAGCATCTCAAAAGGCTGTGGTTGTTTTTTTTTGAAGTGTCAGCTGAGGACTTTAACCCTTTAGCTGGCTGCTTCTGCTCTTGGGGGACAGATATGCATTCCACACACGCTCATTTTTTTCTGGGTGCTCATGAACAAAAGTTGCTACTTCACGTTTAGACCCCACCCTTCCCTTGACTGGCCATGGAAAGATTGCTTTTGCTGTGGTTGATCTGCTGTCTCTGGATCATACGTGTGGAAAGCCAATTTTGGTAGCACAAGCAGCGTTCTGTTCCATTGACTTGCTAATACTGATGGTCCCAATACATTATGAAACCTGTGGTTCTGCAGCAGATAAAACTTGTCGCTACCCCTTTTTGTAGGCTGCAGCTCTCTTTTTGAGGTACTTTTGCCCTCGAGGCTTGGTGTTCTAATAAATGTCTGTCTGGGGTGCCTGGCTCTGTTCCTAACAGATTGTTTTTTGTTGGTAGGTGAATGCCACAGTCCCCTTGCTAGGTCGCTCAGGTTTGCTTGGGGAACTGAGGAACAACTTCTTTGCGGATGTGGCGTGCGGAAGGGGCAAAAAAGCCGACAGCACCTTCTGTATCACATCCTCAGGCCTGCTGTGTGAATTCAATGAAAAAAGGCTGCTGGACAAGTGGGTGGAGCTGAGGGTGAGTTTTGTGTCCTCTGCTGTTAGCACCTGCTGAAACAGAGCAGGAGCAATAAGAAGCGCATTCAGAGAGCACAAGCTGGCCACCAGCAGTGAAAGTTATTGACTCTGAGGAGAATTTGGGCTTCTGCCACTTTGTGATTTATACTGGTTGGGAGGATAGACAGAAATGCCGTTGCCTCTTTGCAGAGGGATTTTGTTAATCCCTGAGGCTCTTCCACTCTCAAGCTTTCACGTTACAGCTACTGCCGTGGCAAAGCAGTGTCCTGATGTAGTTTTGGCAACCCTTGTGTTGTCCTTCCTGGCTTGGCCTGGACTCTAAGGAGTGTTAGAAGGATTCTGATCTCTCCCCTCTCTACAGTGTCTTGGTTGGCTTGTGCATCTCAAATGCAACTTCCCAATTTAGTAGTGGGTTTGTAAGCCACCAGCTTGGCCTGTAGTTAAGACTTCAACAGGGTTTTTTTCCTTTCAATGGAATGCAAGATGTTCACCTGAAAGGATTCAGAGTGTTGAAACCAAGGTAAAATATTTCCACACTTTCTCTCGAGTGAAATGCCTCTTCTTTTCTTTCCTTTCTTCTCTAAAATCTGCCTTTCACTCTCGCTCAGAATACAGACAGCTTCACAGTAAGTTTGACAAGTTTTGCATTGAACTCACCCACTTATCACCACACTCCATTTTCTACCATTTGCTGCCATTTGTACAAATCCCAGCGGGAGGGGAGATGAAACAATTTTTTTCTTTCTTGTCCTGTTGGGACAAGTGATGTGTTGGTGTGGTACAGGGTGTGGTGCTGCTTCCCTACCAGTGGTGCTGAATGTCACAGAGGAGCAAAAAATACTGTACAGGGTGAGACTCAGCTGGAGCAAATGTGTTGCTCTGACCTCCTCCTGCAGGAGTGGCTTTATGTCAGCAGGGGAGCTGGCCTTTGGCGCTCTTTTATTCGCCACTTGGAATCTGCAATGGGCCTTGGCCAGGAAGCTCCTCCGAAAGAGAATTGGGACTTTTGGCTTTTCCTTGCTCTCAGGGGCTCCACTTCACTTCACTTCAGCTCTTCTGACCATGATTCCTTTGTCTGTCAATTTGCTATTTTCCGTGCCATGTGTTTGGTGACTTTTTAAGTGAGTATGTATTGCTAACTAGCCTTCTTGTGTGCTGTGTCCTCCTCAGACCACTGTGGCAAACTGCATCTCTGTGAATCATGACTACATCTTCTGCGGCTGCGCTGATGGCACCGTGCGGATTTTTAACCCCCTGAACCTTCACTTTGTCACCACGCTGCCGAAACCACATTTCTTGGGAACAGATATCGCGAGTGTGACTGAGGCCAGGTATTGTAGAGAGGGTGAAAGGTATCAAGGGAGAGTTGTGTGGGTTAGAAGTGGTTCCCAGACTTTTGACTTTTGGAGTGCGCTCTTTTTATGGATTAAAACTGGTAGTGTGTGACACTGAGCTGTCACAACCTTGCCCCGCGTTGCTGTGCCCCACATTGAAACCAAGGCAAAATATTTTGCTGGGCCGCAACCCAAAGCTGATTGCTGGGCCACACAGCATATCTGGCTCCTCATCTTCCTGGGATCACCCGTTTCTGGCAACCTTTCAACATTGGTTGCTGAGGGCAAGCGGGCAGTGTACAGGATGTTGTGGCACACTTCAGCTGCTCTTATGCAATGACATATCCTTTGCTTATCACGGGTAAGGTCTGTGAAGACTCTCCTCCATAACAATATAAAGATGTTGGTAAGAAATGCACAGGCTTTCATGGGGTATCTCTTCAAGGGCTCTTTTACAGTCATTTACGGACCCAAATGTCCCATTGTTGTCCACAGTCTTTCTCCTCCATCTGTCTTCTGCATTCTGTTTTCTTGTTTTCCTCCCTTGCTCTGTTAACTTCTACCTTGGCTCTCTTTCCCACCATCTAAGATGGGTAACGTGGTTTTCATATAGTTCTGTTTGCCAGCTTGTTGAGGCTTACGCTAGAGAAAACCCTTCACGCATTTCTGTTTGCAAATCCTCGTAGGAGAAGTGGGGAAAGAATTCCAAAAGCGTTTGTGTCTGCTAGCCAATATTCTAGTGGACTCCTCCATCTACAGGATTGACTATTTTTTTTCTTGTGTTTCAACAGATTTTGTCTAAACTTTTTTTTGGGGGGGAGGGGGAGGAACTTGAGGAAAAAGTGCAAATAGTGCACTGTATAGCCCTCCTGTGTAGGATCAGTGGGAAGTGGTGATAATTCAATGAAGGAGCTGGGAAAAGGAACTGTTTTCTCAATTTAGTGTTACCAATTTTGGTAGTGCTAAGTCAAGCAATCATGTATACTGGCCCTTTAAAAGCACTCTCTGCTGCTCCCTTATATGTCAGTCAAGCATAGATATTCATGTGATCCTTAAACATGCCTTTATAGGGCTGATTACAATCTTAACAGCATTTTTTTTTTTATTATTTCAAAAGAAGCTGGAAAACACAGGCCTCCTTATTATCCTTATGCATGCCAGAGCCTCTCTGTGGGATGCCAGTTGCCAGCAGTGAACCGCCCACAACTCTGTTAATGACTTCATTTTTCTGATAGGATCTGGGCTGCACTCTTCTAGTCCTCAAAGCTTTGCACCTGCTAAAGCAGGGTTCCCAGTTGTCTGGTGTACAGCATGCACGTCGGCCCTCATCCCTGGATCACCATTAGTCCTTTTAAGTTACCTGCTCTCAACACCCTAGTGCTCTGGCTGTAATTGCCTACTTCAATACCTGTAGCAGCTTTGTGGGATGGCTGCGTTCACCCCAGTCAAGAGAGCAGCTCCTACGCTACGTGCCTGGAGGTGGGACTCAACAGAGGACCCCTGCAGAGGAGATCCTGATTTCACATTGGACAAGCTAGGTCTAACCTGGGAAAATGGAAGTTTCCTTGTTGTGCAGTGTTCCCCTGTTTTTTCAGTTTGCAGCAGAGAGCGTGCCTGTCTAGAAAGGACCATACCCATCTGCAGTTGCCCATCTCATGAGCTGCTCCAAGCAGCACCAAGCTGGCCAGTGTGTGTGCGTGGGGGGAAGGCATGTCAGACAAACATCAGCTGAAGTAAATCATTCCTTTGTCCCTTGTGCTGGTGTGCCCTGACTTTCAAATGCTAGTGACTGCTCCTACTCTTCGCCTTGGTCCTGTGCCAGAGCAGTTCCTGCAATTAACTGCAGTCAGTACACAAAAGATGGGAAGGAGGATCATCTTGTGGTGCGTCCTCTTTGTTTTGAGATTGTTATTTGACTTGGATTTTACCACGCGCTTATGCGGTGGTAAGTGATGCTGACCTCCAGTGATGACCACGTGTCCTCTTTAATCCTTCAGGGAGAGTCAAATGTCTGTCTGTGGTGGGACTCTGGGTTGTACAGCAAGAAGAATAACTCTTACCCTGGGATGTTCAGGCCTCTCTTGGGACTTCTTGCTGCAATAGGTGTTCAGCAAGCAAGTCTTTCCAGCCAGCCTTCTCTCTCTACTTTTATGGCACGGTATATTGCTCACCTGGCCATCCCCTTTTGGAGAATCTGAGCTCTTGTGCTTGACTTCCTTGCTCTGATTCCAAGAGGGCACAAGTCAACCAGTCTTTTGTTCTCTCTTTGCACAGTCGTCTTTTCTCTGGTATGGCTGATGCAAAGTATCCAGACACCATTGCCCTGACCTTTGACCCCACCAACCAGTGGCTTTCCTGTGTATACAACGACCACAGCCTGTATGTGTGGGATGTCAAAGACCCGAAGAAAGTGGGCAAGGTTTACTCCGCTTTGTACCACTCATCCTGCGTATGGAGCATTGAGGTAATCACAGATGGGGAATGTTGTCTGCAGATGTGAGTGTTGGATTATGGGTCGTGGCTGCAGAAATCATCTGAAGAGCTGTCAAATTTACGTGCAAACACTTATAGCTGGGAGAGAGTCAACTCAAATTACTTTCTGTAGTTAGCGTGGTTGTTACGGGACTTGGGCTGTAGCTGGGAGCAGTTCTTTGGCTGCACAGCAGTGACTGATCAAGTACTTGAGATGCAGTGTGTTACTGGAGGGGGAAAAAAAAAGCAAACCCCAGGATTAAAAGGTGAGAAGTGGGAGAAAGGGCAAAACTGGACAAAACTAGGTGCAGTGGCTTCTTTCACAAAATACCCAAGATTTTATTGCTGACCTCAAAAAGTGTTTGAGGTCTGTGGTGAGCAAGTGTTCCAAAGTCAAAGGAATGAAACAAGCGATAAGACCTCAACTCCAGTCCCCATTAGCCTATTTACTAGGACATCCTGCATTAGCCTCTCAAGCGGCTATTGCCATCTAGTCTGTCCAGCTGGCTTTCCTTCAGAAGGAGGGAGGGAAGAAAAGGAGGTACAGGAAACAATATGTCCTAACAGTGATCAGAAAAAGGAGAACTGGAAAGAAAGATGGAAGATGTTGAGGACTCTTCTCAAGTGTTTTATTAATTACATTTCTCCCTTTTTCTCCTGGATTATGAACCCTTGGTAGTGTTTGAAAGTCTCAAGCAACAGTGCAAGGGTGGCTGTTGCATAGTCTTTGAGGTGTGTCTCTTTGAACTATTAAAGACAAAAGATGCTGGCTTACTGCTGGCTTCTTAAAGGGATGTTCTACGCTCAGGGAACCTCAGCCAGCATCTGTTTGAAGTGAGCATGAAGCTCTGGCTTGCAAGCAGGTTTTCATTGGGAGAATTCCTGGCCTTCACAAAACAGGGGCCTCGGTACAGAGGACAGCTCTTTCATCTGGTCTTGTTTTGAAACTCGCTGCAGTTCTAGATACTTGCAGTATCTAGAATGTCAGGTGCAGGGGGTTCTCATTCAGGGGTTGATTTTCCTGCCCTTAGATGTATCCGGAGGTGAAGGACAACAATCAGTCATGCCTACCCCCTGGTTCCTTCATCACCTGTTCCTCTGACAACACCATTCGTCTCTGGAACACTGAGAGCTCCAACATTCATGGCACAGCCTTGCACCGCAACATCCTCAGCAACGTAAGATCCCAGGCTTTCATCACCTCCTTGCCCTGGGGGTTGCTCTGCCTCGTGCACGGGTATTCCCAAGTTAGGGCCCAAACTTCTCGGTGCCTCTAAGTCAACACAGACCTCTCTATAAGGAGAGTGCAAGTCTGGCCTTTGGACTGTTGCTTTTTCCAAAATTGCCCAAGGGTTCAGCAGACTTGGCTTTTTCCAATATGGCACAGCCCTCCTGAAGCATATGACGTGATTCTCTTTTTCTCCAACTGTGATGTATAATCACTTTAAGATCCGTTTGGGAAAGGTATACTAAATGAGGTAGAGGCTTGGGAGAACTGGATGAGAAAGAATACTAAACTCACTTCATCTGTATAAGAGTGCGGATACTTTATACAGCCCAGTGATTGCCTCTGGACATTTGCTTCCATTATCAGTTGTTTTGAAAGACCCATGAGTGTGGTAGCCCTGACCTGCCCTTTCTCAGCAATCTGCTCAGGGTGGAAAAAAAGCTCCTGCTTTCTTTGCCAGAGGGTTTTCAAAAGGCATAGGCTGCCTTAGGTGTTCCCTACAAGTCTTCTAAATTCCTGCTCTGCCCCCTGTTATGTTGTAATCACTAATCCCAGAGCTTGTCTCTGTGCAGGAGATTCTGTTGGCTTCCAGAACCAAGGGAGATCTCTTGCAAAGAATGATCATGAGACACAGCTGTGCAGCTTTCCCTCTACAATATGAAGAGGCTAAGTGCTTGCCCCCAGCCAAAAGATGCCATCAATTACAGAATTACTGCCAGTATACTTTGGCCAGGTGGCCAGTTGCTAAGAAGGTTGCCTCATTATAATAACGAGTTAATATTTCTGTGTGTATTGTGTCCCCAGGACTTGATGAAAATCATCTATGTAGATGACAACACTCAGGTACTCCTGGATACTGATTACAACTCAGGTGGGAGTGCGGACAAAGCCGATGCACAAGTGATGGATACAAAGGTGGGGATACGCTCTGTGTGCGTGAGCCCCAGTGGGGAGCACCTGGCCTCGGGGGACAGGATAGGTACTCTCAGGTAATTTCATAGAGCTTCTTGGGCAGGATGAGGGCTGGGTGGGTGTGAGACTCAAAACTAGATCTTGCTAGTTTTATTAAGCACACTGCAATCTGCGATGTTCTGTCTCAGGATATATGAGTTGCAATCTTTGAGGGAAATGCTGAAGGTGGAAGCCCATGACTCTGAGATCCTATGTCTGGAGTATTCCAAACCCGACACAGGTAAATGCAATTGAGCTTCTTTCCTTTTGCATATGAATGTAGTGTTAAACAAGTCAGAATGTGCAGCCATCATATGTCAGAGCTTTCCAGTGGTGAACCACTCCTGGATTTCAGAGCAGACTTGTAGCACTGGACTCGTAGAGCCAGACCTTGAAATAGACTTCTTTCTCATGCCTCTTCCATGGAATATCATAGGTGGAGACTGAGATTCATTCTGTCTGTTGTTGCAGTGTGAAATCCAGAGGCATTTCATCTGGTAGTTAGCTATGGCTTAATGTTTTGTCCGTAAGACTTCTTGGGAAGCTATCTTAAAATGATTATTAGAAGAGTAAATGGTTTCTACTGGAAAACCCTCTTTAATTTTGACAGGGTTAAAGCTGTTAGCCTCAGCCAGTCGGGATAGATTGATTCATGTCTTGGATGCTGGAAAGGACTACAGCCTGCAGCAGACCCTGGATGAACATTCCTCTTCCATCACTGCTGTGAAGTTTGCAGGTAAGGAATTATGACCTTCTTCCAAAGCTGGATTTCAGCACTGCTGCTGTCCCATTGTGGCTGTAAACTAATTCTAACTGTTTAAACGCTAGGGTAGGCCAGGCTGAAGCTGCCACTGCTTTTTTGTCATCCTCTGTAGTTACAGTCCTAATGGAAGGCGATATTTGATGATACTTGCCACCTTTTCCATTGTTTTTACCCTCTCCTTCACCCCACCCCCACTCAAAAAACCTCTCCTCGTTGAAGTTCCCAATATTTCTTTGGAAAACTGTTTTCTGTAATGATTCACTCTACTTGATATCAGATGGTTACACCCTGTTCTTATCTCAATGAGGAGAACAGTGGAAACAAGGTCATCTTCAAAAATGATCTGTTTCAGGATTAATTGATGAGAAATACTTTTGTCACTGCAGACCAATGTTAGACTTTCCATTCTTCCTAATGGAGCGTAGCGCTTCCCCGGTGCTCAGAGTCGCTACTGGTGGTCAGTGACATCAATCTGGTGTACTGCACTATTGCCAGGGATCAGCAAGAGCTAGCTGCTCCGTACAGGAAGGGGAGCCAGGAGCTGAGGGTGACAGGAAGGCAGGCGGCAGAATTAGTGGCCTCACTGCCAGAGGGCAGTCCCACAGTACCTGCACAAGTAGGAGCAGATTGGATCCAGTCACAGTAACCAGGTTCAACCAATAGTCTAGATAACCAGGCAAATCTACAGTGATGAGATGGGTCCGTGGTCAGCCACAATCAGTGATCGCCAGGCAAGTCCACAGTGATAAGGCAGGTCTGAGCTCAAATCAGGAAGTTGAGACCTTGCTGAGGCTTCTTAGCGGTTTGGGGGAGCCTCCGGTGAGGTTTCTTCCAGCTTTTTCTCAAGGACCTCCAAGGCCAGCCAAGCTCTGAAAGCTCTGTCTTATCAGGGAGCTGGCCTTGAATGCAGCCAGCTAATGTCTTGGGGGGTGGGGGAATGCACTGAAAGCCCTGGCAGCTAAGACCGGTGTGCTAGTCCAGTGTGCTAGTCTGTGGGCTAAATGCAGTCCTGCTCTGAATGGGTACAGTGGCTTGTTTGGATCCATTTTCATTATGTTGAGTTTTATCAGGTTTTGCTTTGCTGAAGGAGCAGATTGGTTACAAGAGTGCTTGAGGAAGAAGGAGGGCCTGACCCTTCAGAAAGAAAGGGCAGCAAGAAACACGTCATTGACTTAAAGGACTGAAAAGTGCCTGTTTCCTATTTTCAGCTCATACTCAGCATGAAACTGCTTTTTTCTTGTCACGTTGCTATGAAGTGCTCTAGTACGAAGAGAACAGGAACATGAACAAAGTCCTGGGGAAGACAGCAGAATTATATCCTCATCCTGTTGCTCGAGGCCTCTGTATTAAGGCCTTATGCGTTTTGAACGTTAGCAAATGCTGTTCTTGAGAAGAGGCTTCTGCTTTGCTGCAGCCTTGTACTGCTGCAGTAAGAGTCAAGTCTTAGCTAATCAGGACTGGAATAAATCATCAACAGTACAGATTTAAACATCTTTCACCTTTATATCTTTTGATTGGCTCCTGTCTCTTTGTTCCAGCTAATGATGGGAAAGTGCGCATGATCAGCTGTGGGGCAGACAAAAGCATCTATTTCCGTACTGCGCAGAAGGTAGCGTCATTACAGCTGTTATATCCTTTCTAAATAATCTCTCCACAAAGGAGCTACTTTAAAGAGCAGTATCAGAGTCTGAGTTTGCTGCTATTTCAGTCTCAGTATCTCCTATTGTGACTCAGTGCAAGAGATTGCATTAGGAGAACTTGTTCTGTGAAGCTCGCAGCTGCTCCCAGTCTGACCTCTCTCATCAGGAGGCAATGCAGAGAACTGTTAGGATATCTGCTCCTCTTTCTTTGTGAGAGCTGTTGTAAGAAGTGGTGGAAGAGCATGGCTGGAGAGAGGAGTTCATTGTGCCTCCAGTCCTGGTTGCTCCTAGCAGGCCCCTTTAGTGGGAGGGGCTGGCTTGTGCTGGCTGTATGAGATGACTTGTCTCTATTTACAAGTTTTAAATAATGGATTAACTCCTTGGCTTTGACACAGTTTTTACCCTATGCTTAGACAGGAGAAGGAGTTCAGTTTACCCGAACACATCACATTGTTAGGAAAACCACTCTGTATGACATGGATGTGGACCCCAGCTGGAAGTATGCTGCTATTGGCTGCCAGGACCGTAATATCAGGTTAGTTCACTTGTCTCAAGAATATTCTTGCAGTCGTGAATGAGTTGGCCAAGGCATTCCCTGTCCCCCATCATTGTTCTTCTAGGTTCTTTATGTTTCAGTCTGATCTGCTTCACCTCAAACTCTGAACTCCTTCCCCCCCCCCCCCCCCCCCCCCCGCCCCCCCCGTACTGATGAAAAACTGTGGATATGCTTGAATGTCCATGGGACGGTTGGCTTTTTGCTGGGTTCCTTTGTAGAGCAAGGCCTTTGTCCTGGGGACAGCAAGTGTACCTGCCTTAGCACATCACTGAACTGTGTGGCAAGAACTCCTGCCCTGTGGTAATTTTTGCCTTTAAAGGTTTGTACAGTGAAAGCCTCTGAGTTCCTGTGAAATATCTGGGACCGGAGGAACCTACAACTGAGCCAGGTGTGATTGTCTTTTGACAAGTGGTATCCATTCTATGTTCCACTCTTTTTCATTTTCCAATCTATATGTCTGCCTGCCTCTCCAAAGCAAAGGAGACTCCCTAGTCCTGCAGAATAGTCTCTCTTGCAATATGTTGGCGAGATGCTGAGAGTTTTGGACATGGTTAAATGTCAACTGTTTTTGTATCCTGATGTAAATGAAGAGTCTTGTTTCTCTTAGTTCTGTCCTTTAGTATGAAGGAGCCACAGATATTTTTGTAGCAAGGAGGACTGCTGAAGCTTTAGTAAGTGCCATTCTTGCTATGTTACCAGTGGTTGTTACTTGGTGTTACAAGGCTTTTTCCTTGCCATCTGACTTCTCCTTCAGTGCCATGGTGCTAAACTTGTTCTTGGTTATCAGCTTGAGAATCAAACTTAACTTTTAATTCGGATAATCTACTTGGTATTTTATCATCCAGTCTTGGGGCCCTGCATTACTTCCCAGGTTGATTGTTAAATCACTTGAATGATTGGCAGTTATTGTTCGTAGACATCATAGCTTCACTTCCTGCAGCTTGGCCCTGTGCCCTGTCTATCCTGTACAATGAAGCCTGGCATGAGGAGCAGAAAAGGAAAGGATCCTGGTGACAAGAACCATAGAGTGGTGCACAGGCATAATGAGTGATGTTATCTTATGTCCTGTGCATGGGCATAATGAGTGAAGTTATCTTATGTCCTCCTAAGGGTTTTCAACATAAGCAGTGGGAAGCAGAAGAAGCTTTACAAGGGATCTCAAGGTGAAGATGGTACCCTCATCAAAGTAAGCTGCTCACTTTTTTTCTCCCTTTTCCTTTCCCAGATCTTCTGAGTGCAGCTTGGGGCTCAGAAAGGGTTAGATCCAGACTGCAACAATGTTTGAACTTTTCTTGTCAGTTACTTAACGAATTACTTGAACTCCACTTCTTAATTAATGTGCATTAATTTTTAAACACACATTTTAAAGTGGTCCGTCTGACACTGGGCCCTGAAAGCATGAACTTTAATAAAAAAAATAAAAAATAAAAAACCCACCACCTCAGCTTTCTATGAAAATAAACTCAGCCAACAGCTGCTCTTAGCTGGCCAGTGTAAAGCATTTAACTAAAAAAGAAATATAAATCTGAATGCAGAAACTCTTCTTTTTGCTTGCCCTATACTTTTTCCCTTATGTTGTGTCTGCTTCCTTCTACTTCCATACTTAAAGCCTGGTAGTACATTTGGATTCCATCAGACTAAAGCGTGACGTGAATGAATAAATGATAAAGTAGGCGTATAATTTCTCTCTCTGTTCTGTGTCTGAAGTGAGGCAAAGGTCCACACTCTGGTAGCAAGCAGAACTGTACCGGTATCCGTCAAGAGAGAATCTTAGCCCATTTTACATGTCACATCTCAAAAGCCAAGGGTGTTTGTCTCGAATGCCTCTGAAAAAATAGAAAACTTCCTTAGCTCTGTCTTGACAGTTCCTTTAAATACTTCTGGGAAAGCAGATTGCAACTAATTCTTCCTTTGCTCTCTGCTCCAGAGGAGCTCCTTCTGGCTTTCTTGATTATCTTACTTAGGTTTTATAAGCTGGAGCTGCCTGTTGATCAGAGTTTGAAAAATTTGTGAGATCAGTGAAATGTCAGATGGGTTGCCAGAGAACAAATACAAGTGAAGTGCTCTAAGAGTAGATGAAATTAAGTAGCAACTGCCCAGAAAAGCCCATGTTCTTCGGGCAGCCTTGGAACGCTGGACAAACACAGTACTGCTTAAAGAGACTTTTTGTATTTCCCTGTCACCTGCCTGCTCAGTGTATTCTGGCCTTGGGGTAGCACACCCACTTCTAGCACTGTACTGTGCTTCCCCCGATTAAACCAACCATGTTAAAGATTAGTGATTAGGAGTAATGCCAGCATACTGGGATGCAGAAGAGTTGTATCCTTGTCTTTAAAGGAGACAGACCAACTGACATGACCAGAAAGTGTCTCAATTCACCTAACAAGCTGCTTCTATGTCAGATTTGTTTTCACTGATTTTTTTTTCTACTTTTTAAGTACTTTGTTTAGCTGACCAGGCCAGCAGTATTATTGATGGGCCTAAATAACTAGGTAAAAGGAAGAGAAAAGCAAACTACTGCATTCAGTGTCATGTCTTCTGTTTCTATACAGAAAGATAATTTCTTTTGCTCTGTGTCTATATAATTTCACCTCCCCCATAGCTTTTATAAGCCAGGGCAATGAAAATGAAAAATTGGTGCTATATTTTATTGCTGATAAGCTCAAGTGCTTGATTATACGACTCATGAAATGTTGCTCACAACTGTATTTTTTGTTTTTAGTATCCTTTATGTTTTTGCTTTTTCATGAGTAGCACAAGCAAGGAATCTCTATTTTTAATGTTGCTTTATTCATTTTTAGGGCAGTTATGTAACCAAGGGATTACAGTTGTCTCTGGAATTCAAACTTTCGTGGAGTGTTGTTCTGAGGTCATAACACACATTACAGTTTAACAGTTGGAACCCAAGCAACGATATGTGAAGCAGAAGATGCAGCAACAAAACAAATATAACCAAAAAATTATCTAAACAACCTGCATCCTTTAAAACAAACACTTTGACTCTTGGCTCCTTGAAGTTCTACAAAACACAAAGCAGAACATTTGGATAAAGTTGCTATATTTGCTGTGCAGCGCTGCTTGAGAGTAACAAGGCATTTGGATCAGGTTTTATTGCTTGATCCAAGATAAAGCAATACAGGGGTTTATGTATAAACAAAACGTGGGAGCTGCAAACACTGGAGATTTGACCGCATCATCAGCAAAGATATTTTTTTCTGCAATGTGTAGTTCTTTGTTGGTTTCTCTCCTCCAGGTTGGAGTCTTTTAAGGTTTCACCTCCCCGCTCTGATTTTTGAGCCTGATATAGAAGAAACAGAGTTCCATTGAAAATAAGACCCCAGTACTTAAAAGGAGATAGGAAAAAAAGTTCAAGTCTGTCCAGATTGGTGATGGTGCCTTCATGGTCATGAAGGCATTTAATATAAGGGCCTTTAGTCTTTGATAGAGTTGGAGATAGTGTTAATAGTTTAATCAGGTTGGAGGCTTTTTGTCCTGGGATGCTGAATAACCTGGTACTAGATCAGGGTCTTGTGGGGGCAGCTTGTGTTGCTGTTGTCTATTACAACCCCTTGCTGTGAAGATGAGCCTGGTTTCCTGTGATGCCCAGCTGCCTCCCTGTGGGATGGTTCAGGGGACTGATTACACAGCCTTCAGTGCTCCAGTATTGCTTGAATTCATTCAACCAGACGGACAAGGTTCTTTACAGTAGAAAGACCAGACAACCTAAGCACTGCTAAGCAGAGGACCATGGCATTTTACTTGGATAGACATGTTGAAACAGGGATGAAAAATGTACACTTTCAATAAAAAATATTTTATAAAATACATTTTCTCTGTCCTCTGGACTGAGGGTCTAGACAAGTGTTGAATTTTCTTTCTTTGAGTCTGCCACTGTCTTTGACGTTCTGGACAACTCTTATGCAGCTCGAATGCTCTTTCTTAGCAGACCTTTGTACTTCTCTTATCTCTTAAACAGGTGCAAACTGATCCATCTGGTCTTTATATTGCAACCAGTTGTTCTGACAAGAACCTCTCCATTTTTGATTTCTATTCTGGCGAGTGTGTTGCTACCATGTATGGACACTCAGGTAGGTCATGTAAACTTCTGGTAATGTGTCTTCCTGCTGGTGGCTATATAGTAGCGTATTATACTGATCAAAGCTTTCTGAAGGTCCGTCCCCCACCAAATTTTAAGCATTATGGCTATTTTTAGCTAGCTTACAGCTGGTTGAAGTTTCAATAACTTAACTCATTGCAAGTTCAGCTTTTTTTCTATTGCATTCCTATTATATAACGTATGCACACACACATACGCGTGTGGGGTGTGTGTACATATATGTATAAAATACACACACACACACACACACACACACACACACACATATAAAAAAATAAATGCCTGTCAGACCTTTTATTTGTTTATACAATTTTTCTAATGGCCCATAAGGTGGTCTGTGTTTTTGATTTTTTTTTTTTTCTTTGTGTATATTAAATTTCTTTATGATGTATCCTCAGCTCCTACCATGCACGCACTATTCTATGTTAGGCAAGACTTAGGCAAGACTTCAGTCATTATGCTCGTTTTGCCATGCAATACCTTCTTTTACGTCAAACCTAGATCCTGTGGCAATTGGGGTATACTTACCCAGGAAATATGTTTAATCAGAATTTGAATAGCTGATCTGAGCCCAGAAAGGCTATTTGGCTAATGATCTGTGCAATTCAAGGGCATTTTTTCCTGTTCTTTATTTTACACAGAGATCGTAACTGGGATGAAATTCACTAATGACTGCAAACATCTGATCTCTGTTTCTGGTGACAGGTAAGAGGGATTTGCTTATTTGTGATATTAGCTCATGCTGTTGTCTCACACTAGATTTAAAGTGTCTCCAGGAGGAAGGTAGAATTTTGGAGGGGTGTTTTTTGACGTTCAAAGCAACCACAGAACTTTCTGAATCCTAAATGTGAGCCGTTGGCAAAGGTTGCAGAGCTTTATCATCCTTCCGTGCCAGGAGACACCCATGTAAAGTGCATCCCTTGTGGTTTTCAGGGTGCAGGTACAATTTCCTGCTAATATTACTTGGAAAGCAGCTGGAAGGAGACAGGGATGTGGCTGGGTTCCTTACCAGCCCCCAGAGCTGGGAGCTGGGCAGTGTAATGCAGCCTGTGACATTCTGAGCAGCGATGCCGAAACTTGGTCTTGCAGTGCTCCCGTGGGCAGGGTTTCACCAGCAACTTGCTGCTGCTGGGAGGGACTGATCTGTCCCCACTCTCTGCTCCTGTCCATGTCATTCTCTTCCCTGCTCCCCTAAGCCAGCTGGGGTCCTTGTCTGACCCCTAAATAAGCTGATTCAGGTCACTAAATCGGCACCCTCCCCTCCCCCTGCTGTGTTTTCTGCTGGTTTAGTGAGCTAAATCAGCTCCCCAAAAGCTTAAGTAATCACCACACCCAGCCTAAGGGAAAAAGACAAGTATGTGCCTAATGTAATGACTGTGGAGGGGAGTGGACCCTTTGCTCTTGGAATCAGTGAATTCTTAAATAAGCTGAACGTAATAGCACTTCTCCCTTGAGAAATAGTGCTTCTGGGAGCGTCATTTCAAGGCCAGAGCAGCTCAGATCTTCTCTTTGCTATTAAAAACCTACAAGAAGAAAATTTTCACAGGTTTGTTGTTACAGAGCATACAATATACGGTCTTAAATTACATTAGTTGGTTATTTCTGGCTTTCAGTAAAAAGTAAATAATTTGTTTTTCTCTTATTTTGCCTATCATATGTTTAAACAGATTAGGAGAAAAGTTGCGGAGTTCTCTTGTCTTGGGTCTCTGATACCTTCCAGAGACATAGAAGGTGCGAGCAGTCTAGTGATCCTTGTGATTTAGTGCAGTGATCCCTTGTTGACTGTTTACATGGGAGCTTGTCATTTTTTTTTTCACGAAGAGTGTGGAGGAGGTAGATGAGAATTGAAGAAGGGATTCACAAAAACCTCAGCTGTAAGGAGAGGAGAGAGAGTGTTTCTCCAAGAAGAACAGAGAAAATAGTCCGTTTGCACATGGCAGCATGTGCAAAGAATAAAACTGAGACTAGAAAGAGAAATGGAGATGAAGAAAGCACAAGGACTGGGAGGGCCGTGTGAGAAAAGTACTGTAAAGAAAAAAACTTGCAGCAGAAGGGGTAGGTGGGAGCATACTTGGGTATAGCTTTGTGTTGAATGCTAATGTTTTTGTAAGTTCATACTGTTTGCTGCTTATCTCTAGCTTTGATTGCTGTGGGGCTGGGTTAAATGAACAGGCCAGATTTGCTTTCGAGTTGCATTTCCTGCCTTTCAGTATTGTCTCAGCAGCAAATTATAGCTGCTGCTATATTCAATAGAGCTCCTGTTTGGGAGGAAGCAGCTGAGTGCCCTAGGTTACCATAGCTCCCAGATGCAGTGCCTCAGAAGCTTTTTAGTCTTTTGGCTAAAAAGCTGGGGAGGGGGATGACAGCGTTTTCACTGTGGAGGAGAAGTCTCTGTTTCTGTGCGTGGCTTGAGTAGGTGGGAGTCGTGTTCCTGAGTTTCATCATGAAGGGACTGGGACAGGCTGCAAGAAAGAAATTTTCAGTTTTTCATTTAAAAACTTCACAGACCAGAAAGAGGTTTTTGTTTGCTTTTGTGTAGGATGAAAGTTAAACCTTTTAAAATGTCTTCTCGTGAGTGGACAAAAAAAAGATGCAGAACCTGTCCCAGGCATTCAGGATCTTGGTGCTTGGGGTATTTGCCTCAGGTCTGAGAGAGCAAAATTCATGGTTATTGCTCTAAATAGCAGAGCAGTGGAATTCTTACAGACTGGCGAGAAAGATGGGAAAGCCCCTCAGGGAAAACTCCTTGGTGAATTGGAGTACAAGTATGGTGACACTGATGGATTTTTGGAGAACTTGATGAAATCCTCTTTGGATTCCAAAGGAGCACACAGGATTTTTATAAATGAAAGCAAAAGCACCACTTCTCTTTGTATATCTATTTAATTATACCCAGCTAGACAGGGAAGATGGATGAGATGAAAAGAACCAGTTAGCGCTGAGGATAAATTTCAAAGAAAATTGTGGTCATTTTACTTTCTAGCAACTTAAGATAGACACAGTAGTCTCTGTGTCACTTTTTAGACAGATTTCCAAAGAAAATGAGACCTGTGAGATCGCAGTGTTTGTTTCCCTCTCTTAAAAGCTGTTGAATCCATTGACCAAGTTCAGTTAAATTCTTTAGAAGTTTCATGGAGGTAGTCCAAGCAGAGCAATATTAGGAGTACCCTGACTGCAAAAAATGCTGCAACATAATCTTAACCGTTATTACACCACAGCGAATCCATGGGAGAGACATGAGGAGGATCCTGACCAAGGGAGAAGTTACAATCGGATGTTGCATCTTAATCGATGTCAGAGGGTGCAAAAGACATCTATAGAGAGCCAGGCTCTGTTTATCCTGCTGATCATGGAGTGACTTTTGTATGGCATTTCTATCAGCAGCTGGTCAGATAGTGAAATAAAGGTGTAAGATCAGGCATGAGTCTGTGCAAATACCTCTGCAGTCGCTCTCATCCACAGGAAGTCTTTGTAGGCAGGTTGACCTTTCTGTTATGAGGCTTGTGATGGGATTGAGTTTCCATAAAGCCATGGCTGCCTGTGTGCCTCCCTGCCACAGACAGAAGGGCTCTCGTTTGCCTCTGCAAATGGAATTGATATCGGCTATGAAATGAACTAAGGCTTAACCCCAGCCTTACCTTTCCCTCTTTCAGCTGCATCTTCATATGGCGTCTGAGCTCAGAGATGACCATCAACATGCGACAGCGACTGTCTGACATGAAACAGAGAGGGAAGCAGGCAGAAAAGTCTCCTCCACACAAGACAGCTGGACTTGTGAGGTGAGCATAGTGGACTGAGAAGATCTTGCAGGCTTTATAGGGTCAAATGTGAAAAGTGTGGGCACTGGGATTGAACTGCAAGGTTTCTGTTGCCTTTACTGATAGTGTCTTACAAAAGTTCTCTTACTCTTCTGTTGGCTCTGCTGTGGGGTGTGTGTTTTGTTTTTTGTTTGTTTTTTTTGTGTGTGTGCCCTTTCTTTGGATGTAGAAGCCTGATTGTGGTCTTCCAGACAGACTCGCTCAGTGTTGCTTCACTGATTGCAATGTGTATGCAATGCCATTTCTCTCTTAATCATGTGATCAGAAACTTTTAATAAGCAGTTTACCTAGCAATACTAAAACTGGTACACAGCATCCCATTAGGGAAGCCTTGATCCTTCATGAATAAAATTCTCTGGGTCTTGGCTGAAAATTTAAAGGCTATTTTCTGCCGTGTCAGTACTGAAATAAACCTGTGACCTATGCGTTTGCCATGCTGATCATAGTTCTGAAAGAGTCCTAGCTTTTCCTTACAGTTGTGCTGTTTCTTTGTTACCTATTTGCAGGACAATTTAAAGAAGGTCACTTAAAAATAATTAATTTCCATGAGAAAAGTTCTTGTCAGTTGAATCATGTTATTTTTTGCTCTGTAAACAGCATATCTAAAAACAAACTACCACAGCCAGCAAACTGAATAGATCTAAATTTATCTGGTGACCTTTCTTTAAAAAGTGGTCCTTAAACGCAGTCTCTGTTTTTAAACAGAACAAGAGTGACAGGGGATTATGGACTGTTAATGTAAAGTATTTACTTTTGGCTTCTCTGCAGTTAGTAGTTAGCTGAAACTAATTTGACTGTAAGCACTGCAGGAGGCAGGCATCTGCAGTCCGCACCAAGCTAATGTGGGATCAAAGTGGGGAAAAAGGATTCAAAAATTTATTTTTATTGTTTTTCTTTTTTTTTTTTTTTAATGCTGTGCCCCACAATTTTCCTCCTCTGACTACAAGTTGAGTTCTGGATATAAAGTACCAAAGCACTGAAGGACTTAACACACGGGTTGTTAGAGTATTACAAGGACCTTCCCCTCCCTTTGGGAGCAAAGTATGTCAGAACAAGTCTGTCTGCATACTTTATTTGGGAAAGTCTTGGTCTGCTCATTCTTGAAAGTTCTGTTGTCTAATATGTGCTTTCAGTAATGATGCTGGGAGAACTCAGTATTGAACCATGAAGCTTTTTTTTCCTAGCCAAAATTCTAGAGCTGTCAAGCAATGTGCTTTTTATAGCAGACGCTCCATCATTCCAGCAGCTGCAGCCTTGCCTTACTGAGGCTCTGCCCGTGACAGATAATCCCAGTTCTCTTCCGTGTTAGGTGAGACTAGTTTCCGTCACAGATGCTTGTTGAAGGGCGGCGTTAGTGCCACGCCAGCCCCAGCACTTTAATAAACTTGTTTGGTAACCTCTTTGCAAGCCTGGAACCTTCTTGTTTGGTCAGCTTTGAAAGCTTGTTTTCAGTTTTGATCGACTGCTATGGTCACTGGATATCAGCAAAGACTTAATTCTAGAGCGTTTTGGATTAGGACTGAAAATGGAGGAAGAGCCTATTGGACCAGCATTAATGAGGTGGGAGAAGAGAAACTAAAGTTGAGTAAGAATGGTTTTCTAGATGCTCTGTACCTGTTCTGCTTGTGTTTCCAACGTCTGTCTGTGTAAGTTGCAGTGGAGAGTTGGGTTGTGCCTTGAGGTGCAAGACTGGCTCAAAAGGAATCACAGTAATATAAGAAGGCTCCCTGACGTGTCCTTTTTCTACTAGATTTTCATCTAGAATGATGTTGCTAGAATTTGCTGTGGGTAATGCATTCTACTAGTTTAATAATATGGGAGTATCACAAGATAAATAATCAATATAATACTGGGGAAACAAAACAGAGCTGATGAGGCAGTGGGGAGCTGAAGGTTTCCAATTCAGGACAGCTGCAGCTGTGACCGAAACAGCAGGGATTGGCCCAGGTTAATAACATCTGGAACGTGAACACATAGGAAATGCTGTCCTGGGTCAGACCAGTGCTCCACGCAGCCCAGTGTTCCCTCTGTGACAGAGGCAATGGAAGGTGCTCTTTAGTGAGATGCTGTGAGCCTCGCTAAATGGACCTTGTGGTCCATTCGCCTCGTGCTCCCCCAGCATCCACAATCGTTGTATTAGGGATGTTAGGAGGTACGTCTTTGCCTTTAACATCTGTTCATGGACCCATTGTCCGTGAATGCGTATAATTCCTTTTTGAACTTGCTAATATTCTCTGCCTCTGCAGTCTCCTATGGTGATAGGTTCACTGCTTGGTCACTACTGTCTGCAGAAGGAAGCACTTTCTTTTGTCTGTTTTAAACCACTTTCCTGCTGGTTTTGTTGGAAGTCCTTGGTGCACGTATTGTGAGCTTTGAACAGTAGTTCTGCACCCAGCTTATCCGTAGCCCCCATGGCTTTGTAAACCTCAGTCCTAACCTCTCCCCCGCCCAGCTTTCTTTCCAGACTGGAGTCTCAGCCTTTTTAGTCTTTCCTGAAGCTTCTAGAGAGACTGAAGTCTCTCCTCTGAAGGATTTTTGACTCACCATAGAGACATCAAATCCCTTTGGGACTGATCTCACCTGCATGAGCCTACAGTCCTTCCTAGTGTCCATGATAGCCTTTAGGTTTTGCCTCCGGTTGCAAGAATTGCTGATGTGTGCTTTTCCCTCATCTGCTGAACATGAGCTTTGATTGTTCAGGATAATAGAGCTTGTGCTCAGTTTGTATTGCTGGTGCATTTTGGTTTTGAGGCATTTACTGTTTTCAGAAAAGGAATTGTGGAATGGCCTTTTAATACAGTTTTGATTTTGGTCCATGTGCATTTTTTGCTTAGAAAACCTTGTCTAAAATTGTTGGAATGAAGATTTTAAATTGATTTTTACTCTAGAATGTTTACAGGGATTATAGCCTTGTTTTAGTAGAGTGTTTATATTTTTCAATTTTAAAAGTCACTTTTTTGTGACAGTCTTTGAAGCTCTAGCATAAACAGCAAACAATAGAAATGTTATCTAAATTATATTGCCTAAAACTAGTTTGTGTGCCAAAGTGCTGTGTACCCTTTGATTTATTTGGAAAGAATTGCTCCTTATCAGTTCTCAGTGAGGCTGTGGTCCAGTTCAGGGAAACTGTGCAGCTTCCAGGGCTCAGAATGGGGCAGGCTTTTGATGCCAGATCAGAACTGGTGCCTAATTCTGTGCTGAGCTGTTGCAGTTTTACACCAGGGAAATTCTCAAGTCAGAAGCACTGTGATCTTTCTGTGAGGGAAAGCAGGATTTAAACCCTTAGGCACTTATGGAGAAAAAAATTTGCCAGTGTGCATCCCTCATCAGATTTTGAAGTTTGATAAGTAGGTTCCTAAAGCTGAGGGTTTAAGTGGAAGATGATCTGAGTGAGAATGCTGATAACATACCTCTTTAAAGAGGTATAGCTGCCATTCTTGATTTAAAAAAAAAAAAAAAAAAAAAGTGGGGTTGGTAGGGGGAAGAGAAGGCTTGAATTCAAGACAGGCAAAAGAACAGGCTAGCCTATTATCTGTTATCTTACTGTTAGAACTCCATAAAGACATTTGGCCCTTTTTAAGTCTGTGTTCTAAGATCTTATAACTGAGGCCCTGCCATTGACCCCGTACTGAGAAATGGCAGGAGCTGAAGTGCAACTGACTCTGCCTGTGTCCACAGAACAAGACGTGTGCGTGAGACTAGAAAGGGGGAGTTTGTTTGCAAAGGAAGAAGAGAAGAGCAAGGACAATTAAAATCCTTGCTCTAAGAAAGATATGTCTCATGCAGGGTTTTGTTTTGCTTTGTTTTCCTCTTTCTTCTTCCCCAGTGTTACCTGGGCATGCCAGTACATGCTGTTTGGAATAGCTACCCTGTGAAACATTCATTCTAGTGTAAAGATGCTTTGTTGGGGTTTGGCTGAATCTGCTCTTAACAGGAATTCAGCTAAACCTTGAAGTCTTATCCCTCCACTTTCAGAATGCTCTCATATGGCGCTTATTTGGAAGTGGCTCCCATGATGCAGACCTCATCCTACCTTACTCTAACTACCATCTAAACATGAACAAGAACAGAGAAGGAGTGTTGAGGAGATTTGTGGAATGGAGGGGTTTAGAAGAAAACACAAAGTATCTGGAGAAAGGCAAGGAAAGAAAGGAGAAAGAAGTGAGGTCTGAATTGAGGGACTGACTTGGGCAAGTAAAAGAAGTAGAACGCCGAAGACCTTGAGAACATAGGTCTCGTTTTCTGGAATATCTCAGTTTCAGATCAGCCTAAGATGCTTTTGAAAACCCCATTCAATTATAATAAAGTCACAGGAGTAAATTTGAAAATCATATTTGAGTTGTGGAAAGGAGGTTATAGAAGGGGACATGAAGTCTTGCTGGAATAATGCAAGACAACCTCACATTTTTGCAGGACGCATCTAACTTCGTAATTTGTTTGGCACTTCCTGTGAGGTATGAAAGAAGCCCATTCAACTTCCAAAATATATTTTGCGTTCTGTTACTCAGCTCTTTTGAGGATGCTGGAACATGCTTTTTTATTTTTATTTTTTTTTTTGCTGTCCTTGCTAATTTTGCCAGTCCTCACTTGACAGAGGCTATCTTCCCATTTGTAGCATAAAACACATAAATAGCAATCCTCCCTTCTCCATTTACGCTAACATCAGTAGGGGCAGGAATTTAACAAATGCATAACCTTGCCTTGCCACATCATCCAATCTAATCAGTAGTGAGGTATCCAACCAGTTAGATGTTAAGAAGTCTAATAAACCAACCCTTCTTCCTCAGTAAATCCTACCCCAGCAACTTTGAACTCAAGCAGAAAGACACTGTCAAAGTTGCTGATACAAAGTTAATGTTGCCTACCATATATAAATATAATATGCTTCATAAGATAGATGGTGGCGTAGCCACAAAGGTGCTGTAGTGCTTGAACTTGGGTATTCCTGTGCTCAGGCACAAAAGCATGAGGATGACAAGGTGGACACACCTGAAGACCTTAGAAAAAATGAAGAGACTGATGAGCCCAAATACCAAAAGTAGATAACGGCAGCCTACGTGAAACTGTTTAACTGGAGAAATCTCCTAACTAAGCTATCAGTTTCACTCTTCTTTTTGCAGACCATCTCAAAATCCTTCTGAAAGCGCTGGGTAATTATGGCTCAGCCACTCCCAATAAAACGGAAATTAAAATTCTGCCATTGCATGGGAAGAGAAAAGATTGAAATACCTTAACTACTACTTGCCATGTTCTAGTACTGCCTGCTCTATGTCAACCACAGGAGAACTTAATCCTTAGCCAAGCCGCTCTGTATTTGGGGGATGAGCTATTTTTAATGTTGTGAATAATGCTTGGCACTCAACACTGACTGTGATATCCTATGTAAGTAACTAATGATGTGTTTGGCACTCTAGCTCAAGGCTATGGAATGGGCAGTACTCTAACTTATTTGTTAGGGATTCTTCATTTGTTCAATTATGTTTTATTATTTCAGCTTGTCCAAAGTGGTTTAGTTCATTTGATTCTGCTGACAGAAGAGGTTAGAGGAGGAAAGGGAAGGAAGAAAAGGGAGAAGGGAAATTGAGTTTGGTGCTGATAAGTGCCCTTAATTGGTATTGGGGATTCTATGCTTGAAGGCCTGTGTGGGAATGCTTGTCTGATTAAAGATCTGTTCAAAGTATGTTTTACGTTATTCCTTGGGCGTTAAGGCTGAACAAGACAGCACAGCACTCGGATGGTGTGTGGGCTGTGCATGCAGATTCTGGTTGGTGCGGTCCTTGATGTGAACGTGTCTCTTACGTGATGATTTGCTAAATATCTTCCTGATGTCAAGCAGGGAATATCTTTGTGATGTTATAGAAGTGTAAAACAGTTCCAGAGAGGAAATGCTTATGAATGGGGAAAAATACTTGCCTTGCAAATAGGCTTTACTATTCTGGCCTTTTGAATTGGCAGAGTCTGAACTGGAAGGCCAAGTTTCAATTTCACCTGACTTGCTCTGACTTCTTTACTTGTGATCTGAGTTCTGTCATCCTTCCACACATACGAGCATGAGATGAGTGCTGTGCAGGCTTTACACACCTTTGTGCAGGGTTTAACTTGCACTGTTTTCTCAGAGATGAGTTTTGCTAAAGCTAGGGCTGTTAGTGAAAGATGGAGCAGCCTGCTGAATATTCTGGATGGTGGGGTAAGGTGGCAAACTGGCTGGTGTAGGGATTGAAATGGTGGAGAGTTCTTGAGATAGATCATAATACTTCCAATTTCTGCCTCCCAGGCACGAGTCCATCTCTGCCTTATCATCCGTGCCTGCACTCTCATCAGACAGCGACAAGGATGGTGAAGATGAAGGGAATGATGAAGATGAGTTACGTGGGCTGCAGTCTTTCCATGTTCAGTCCAACTGTAACACTGAGAAAGACTCAGGTATAAATGGGAGAGGGCCATGGGCAGAGATGGTGAAAAATGGCATGGATGTGAAGTGGGGCAGAGATAAGAGACACTGGGTTAGGGGTAATGAAGTACTGGCAGAAAGACCAGTACAGGAACGGATGGATTGACACCACTAGACTAGAGGAGTTGCCCATTCCAGCATATGCAGAGGCATAGAGTTTGGAGTTCCCTAGTTCTAAATTCAGCTGTTCAATTGCCAAGTTTCTTGCTAGTTCCAGTCGGCCAGAGAAGTTTTGAATTAGCGCGTTGGGTGTGAATCTACAGGCTATGAGAAGTCTTTAGAGCTCAAAAGAGACCTCACCAAGGATTCTAAGGATGCCTGATAAAACTTACAGTAGAGATTGGTTACCACTGTGAAGTATTTTCACCACAGATACTGCAGTGTGTTGGAGCAGGGGTTTTTCCCTAAACCTTTGGTGGTCCACTGCACTGTGGTAAGTGTTCTGCAGTGGATCTGGTGAGTCAGTGAAAACACTCTATAAAAACAGTGTCTATCCATTAAACATTTGATACGAGGGCTTGGTAGTTCATGAGAAACTAGTTCTACTAGTTCAAAAGCTGTAGGAATGCTGCCTTTGAGGAAAGCTTGGGTAAGAGATCTTTAAAAGGCTGACTGCTGGCCAAGGATGCCAACTAGGTATATATTTTTTCCCTTTTCAGATCCAGACCTTACCCTCTCAAGAAGCCTTTCCCACTGGGAAATGAGGAGGGTGAGTTGCTAAGCCTTCAAGTTGTATTTCTAGTCATAAGGAAACTGGAAAAGAAATCCCTGTGGAGATTAAAAACTTCATCCTCACTGCTGGGAAGGGTGCAGCTGCAGTGGGAAACCACTGAGAAGCCCCTATTTGAAGGATTTGGGGGTGGCAAAGTAGACCCTAGTTAAGAGAGAGTTTCAAGGGTGCCAGATGCAGATGGATGCCCACAAAAAGATTATGATTCTATAGAAAAGGTACATAATCTTTAGAGCTGGAATAGGCTGTACAGGTTGTTCTAATCAAATCGTTAATTTCAGTACCTGGTAGGATATGAAATTTAAGACAGAAGTTATGAGAAATGTACATCTTGGAACAGGAAGAGGATCCAGGCAGAAATATTAGTCCAGATGAAAAGCTGCCTATTTATTATTACTATTGAGTGGAGTAGAGTCTTGATTTCTTGATTTATACTCTATTAATATTGTTAGACTTGGATCATGTGCACTTTCCCACTGTTTTACATGCATGCATTGACTAGTTGTATCTTGCCTGTGCTGGATGCTATTAAATATACATTTGTTATCTTTACATCAGATGTCCTATTCTTGTCCCCTTCATTTCTGACCTGAATGTCATGTAGGGCTGAAGCTGATCATATACTTGGATCTGAGTGAGGCATGTAAATGTTCAGTCACATAAGCCATGACAGAAGATTATCATCTTTATGTTGTTGCCTTTAGGACCAAGGCAGGAATTTTAAGCTTTCTGACACACAGCTTTGGGGCTTTTAGGGAGACGGATATATGTGTGTTTCGCTATGGGTTCTATATCTTCTCTTCCGTCCCTGCATCATCAGCACTCTGTCCCTAAGACTGTTTTTCCTTTCAATTTCCTTCAGGCTAAAGAGATAGCAGCGATCCAGCGCTCAGAGGCAGCAGTGAGCAAGATGCCCCGGCAGCGTGGGCGCTGGTCCCAGCCAACCAGCAACATAGAGATGACTGTCAAGTCCATGCTTGACTTACGTCAGTTGGAGTCTTTCTCTGTTTCCCGTTCCCCAAGTCGAGACTCACTGTCCCAAAACAGCAACGGGGATGACAGAGAAGAGCAGGCGGATGTCCTTGTGCACATCAACAAAGTAAGGGCGGCACTTCTCTGGGGAAATGAATATACTCTGAGTGTGTCTGTCCTGCCTCCGTTTATTATTACATACATGTATCACCTGACACCACTCTTTATTTATCTAGAGAAAGCTCTAAATGCCTCCTGAGAAACCTAGTTCAGCTAATCTCTTGTAGCTAGTGCTCTGCAATGTGCGACTCTGGCTTTTTTGCAGTCTTATAGCAGAGCCCATATGGGATCAAGATTTCTTCCCCAAAACAGGGGAAAAGACCACGTATTTCCTCATAGCTGTTTGATTACTTATGGCTGCTACAAGCTGAGAAGCTGAGCTTCAGATATGTGTGCCTTATTACCTTTTAGCTTACTCTGCTGGGGTACCGTTTCTTGACTCCAGCAGCAGCTGAATTGTGGCTCATATGAGGCCCTTAGTTGTGGGCTATGCTGGATTATTAAGTTATCCTTAGAAACTGTCCATCTCTGTATCTATGGGTCACAGCAAGCTATCATGCTCCTGCCTTGGAAGGCTGGTACCTGTTTTCCAGTAGCAGTCTGTCCTGGTGCCTAACTTCATGAGAGTTATTTCTGCTTTTTATAACTGCATGACTGGATTTGCTGCATGCAGTAAGCCAGTAGTTTTCAACTTATGGTCCCCAGACTTCTCTGAAGTGTATGTGGTAGGCCTATAAAAGGTAACTAAAGAGCTTGCTGCTATGTGGCTTACATTTATGATAATGGGGACAGAGAGGGGTGGGGAGAGTCTGTGACTTTACTGGAGACTTTTAGGGGATTGCAAACAGGAAACAAAATAGGAACCTACAGCAATAGAAGCCTACCTTAGTAGATAAGAACGAAAGACAGGACTGTTGTGTTTCTAATCTCAGATTTCTGATTGCATCCCATGCAGTAATATGTACGTTACAGCTCCACGTAGCACCTGCTGACTTGAAGGCAAAACACGTGAGAGGGTAATCTCTAGTCTTTCTGTATTTCTGTACTAGGTTGGAGGCTCGATAGCTCCCCAAGACAACCGGCCTTGTGTGCGACCCCAAGTGATTCGGCTTGTGTCTTGTGAAGAGGGGATTTTCTCTCAGGAACTGGAACCTTCTGAGAGTGAGGAGTGTGTCATCTACCCTGAGCAAGATGAGATCCATCCCACAGACCCTAGCAGGTTAAAAATAAAAATAAGCTCTGCTGCGCATGGCTCAGCCGTTTATCCTTGTTCAGTTTGCCTGTAGCTTGCGTGGCAATTTGGATGAGTTGATTTATTGCCTGATTGATGCCAGGTTTAGTTAAGGGTTTTATGCCAGCCTGATGCTAAAGGAAGCTGAACTAAGAACACACCATTAAAATAATCTTTCCTCATGAGAAAACTGTGCATGTTAGCAACCTCCTCTGGTTTCTTGTTGAGTAAACAACTTGGGAGCAGCCTCCTTTTTTTTCTTTCTTCCTTATCTGGGTTGAAATAAGCAAGGAAAAACTTAAGTGCTGAAAAACATCCTGACAGTGAGGTTTATCTGGCTGTGAAATGCCTCTCCAAAAGAAATGACAGGACACTATTACTCGGGACAATTTCAAGCGTAATTGGGCAAGAATTTAACAAACATAATAGGTAATGACCATGTTCTAGAAAGAAGATACATTGTGTGACTTAGAAAGTATTGTATTTAAAGGGACACTGGAGAAAGTGAAGAGAGCTTTCTCCTTCCTTTGCTGTTTCTTCTATTTTATATTTACCTCACTTCATTTTCTGTTTTATTCCATGCTCCATGCTTTTTCCTTCCCTGAATTGTACTCCTTCCTTCCCCTTCTAACCTGATTTTAATAGCTGTTTGACTCCCTCTGTCTCCTCCTGCTCTGGTACAAAGAGCAGGCTGATAGCTTTAGACGGGCTGTTATGCAATAGCGCATACCATGATTTTTGCAGTTGAAGCTGCTGGGTTTCTCCCAGTTTCCTCTCTGTTTACAATTTAATTTTATTATGATAACATTTGGGCAGAGCAGACTCATGTGCTGTTCCAGCATACCAGAAAGGGAGGCCCTCTGGTGATGTTGGATACAGACTGGACATACCTCAAAGCGTGCAGAGTTTGCAAGCTGCCAGGGGTAATTCCCACTCAGTTACATTGAGTGACTTCTATATCCTACATTGCATCTAGTGCATCTGAAACCAAAGTATTTCAGAGTGGAAAGCTGAAATCCTCATGGATAACACAAAAGATGACTGTTGCTGTCCCTTGACAAAATCAGGCTTGTAAAATCGCAGCACAAATCAGGAACCCAATCCTACAATACTGCGTTTCATACAACGTTCTCTAGTCTTGCTCACACCCAGGATTTTCTCTATTTTGTAATACTGAAGCGGCCCAAGGAAGGAGGTCATAAACATAGAAAAAGTTACTAGATTAGCAACTACTAGATTAGGGCTCAAATCTATGGCAAACTGGAGTTTGCGTTAGGCAGGTATCAGCCTCTTTGTAGTTCCTCTTTTCATTAAGCAGACCGCTGTGTTTATTCTCCAGCTGTGCAGGAAATCAAGCCAGCGCAGCGCTAGTGCCTGGTAATCATGGAAAACTGTCAACGTGCAGAAAGTCAAGACAGTCCCCTTGTGATTTCACTGTCCAAGCTTAATGAAATGCAAAAATATACTGTATAAAGATGAAAGAAATCAATTTATTTTTCTTTGTAAAGCCTTACCTTTCTAATAATCAAAGGTGTTACTAACACAGGTAAGGCCTTATAGAATGTGCTCCTTTAAATGTAAAATAAATCTCTCTTCCAGTGTTGTATATTTCCTGTCTCTCTTGTAGTGAGTTCCAGGTAAAAGCGTTGCCCCATGGGAAGCTAAATAGAGGTTATCACAGTAATGGATGCCCAGACAAACACAGCCCTGACAGTGCTTGCTCTGTAGATTACAGTAGTAGTCGTCTGTCCAGCCCAGACCATCCGAATGAAGGTAAGTTGCAAAGACATACTATAAATCTATTTATATCTGATGTAGGAACTTGCTGGGGTTATTTTGTGCCATGTTTGTCATTTGCTGTCCTGGTCTCTAATACTTGATCCTCTTCAGGAGCTGAATTGAGGTCACACTCCTATTAAAACCTTGCTAGCATTAGCATAAAGATTCAGGCACTTCAGTGAGTCCACCTCAGAAGCAGGGGTTGGCTGAAGTGTACTTTCCGTATGCTACTTTAACTCTCTTCTGCCTTACTAGCTAGGGAGGTAGCTTTAGTATTGATTATCCCATAGGCTGTGCTGTCTGTGGAGTATAGTAGGTTAGAGAAATGCACCTAATGCTGCCTGACTTGTGATTTAACATCTCCGTTTAATTTAGCATCTTACTGAGTATCTGTCCTAAGCTGACTACTGTTACTGTGATGATGCTACTAGTGTGTTGGTTTTTTTGCCTCTTCCCAGATTCTGAAAGCACTGAGCCCCTAAGTGTGGACGGCATCTCAGACCTGGAGGGTGAAGAGGGAGAGGAGGATGCGGGTACTGGCATGCCAGAGGGAGAAATCCCCCGGACACCTGATCAGGAAAAGTTCCTCAGGCAGCATTTTGGGACCTTGGGCAACACTGACGGAAAAGGTACAGCTCTCTTGCTCAGCAGAGGGACTTTCTCTGTGAGATCACCCCAGATTTGTCTGCTGTGAAAACCAAACCAGGTTACAAGCCATTCTAGGCTTTTGAGGATGAGAGTCTCTGTGGAGGGGAAAATGGGGAAACTAAGGTAGAGAAGTCTAAAAAAGAGAGGCACCTTGATAACCCAAAGCGACATAGACCTCGGTTTGAGCCACACAAAATTATCTACAGACTGATGATGATAAGTATTGCTCTTGGAATCCTAAAGAGCTATTCTCTTGTTCCGGGACTAGTCTTAACTCCTATGTATATGCACACGTATGAACTGTGTGTCTCTCCTCCCCCCCCCCCCCCCCCCACCTTTTTTGGTATACAAAGGCATAACAAATGCCACAAAAGAAAAGGCTGAAATGCTGGGAGGAGGGAGAGAATAAGACGAGACATCAGAGTGGAAAAGGAGCTGATTACTCCTTATCGACCAACTTCAGAACAAAGAGTATCCTTCTAGAATTGATAATGGTTGCAGGTAGCAATATCTCTGTGAGTTGTCCATTTTACTGTTTTTTTTCCCCTCTGTTGGTTTGTTTTCTGCTTGATGTCTGTGCCTCACAGCCCTACAGGCAGGATGGGACACAAAGGGAAGAGAAAAAGGAGGAGGCATGCCCTTAGGGAGACTAGCAGTTTAAGGCAGAGAAATTATAATCTGAGTGGAACAGAAAAGGCAAAGGAGATTAAATTATTTTGTTCTCTGTTGTTTTAGCTCAAAAAATCCCCTTTGATATGGAGGAGCATTTGATAGCAGCTGTGATGAGAAAATGCATTTGTCAGAATGTTTGCATCTTGATCTGTAACTAAATTACTCTCTTTCTCTCCTTTCACCCAAATCTGTAGGTGGCTCATGTAGAACTCTGGAAAGAACTGAAAACCTCAGCATTTCCTCTCGCTTTCTTTCCCAGTCCCCAGCTCTCAGGTATGGCTCTGTTTGTTTTCAGTGTTTCTGTCGTCTTGTTATTTATTTTTTACTAGTGTGTGAATAGGTCTTTTGCTAGGCACTGGGCCAAAATATGGCAGAAGACATCTGACCTTAATGTACCTAGGCACAGCGAGCTCTTAGCGTAGGCAACTGGAAGGTTGGTTGTGGACCACTCTGATTTGGACGGGCCAATCTGCATCACGTTAGCTGCTCTGTTTCTTACTAGACCAACTCTGTTGTTTTGTTCTTTTCCCTCTTCCAATAATATGCTTAACCGTTTCATGATTAATGCCTTAATTGATTAAACTGGAGGAATCTGTCATTTAATTTTCTTTTCACCGTTTATGGTCTGTTTATTCTTTTGCATTTCATTCAGCTTGGACAATGAAAGTAGGCTTGCTAACTTTTCCTTTGTTTTACAGTCCTTTCTTACTCAGCTTCATTTCTTGGTCCCATGCTTTCACAGGGTGCTCTGATGATACAAAGCCCCACGAGAATATTCTTCTTCTTTCTAAAAACAAATAAACACGCCAAAAAACCACACAGAATACCCCAAAAGGCCTCTACAAAGTATTTCTATTGGCATTAAAACAAGAAAAAAAGCTGGAAATACTTCTTTTGATTTTATTTCATAAATGTTTAAAGTAACTCCTCTTCCATTCCTCTCAAATGACAGCTTGAAATCTGGGCTCAGATTGGTTTGATTTCATTGTATAGGCCTGAGCGGAGTTGGGTACATCTTTTATGATTTGCCAGCTGTGTCTGGATTCAGCTCATTCGGGAAGCTTCCTATCATTGCTGTGTTCACATGCAGCTGTTCCTGCTGTTAGGAGGGCCTGTTAGTCTGTCCTGCATTGGGACTGCCTGTGTGGGGAAAAAAGCCAGTGGGTTAGTTATTGTAAAAGCTTCTGGAGAGTTGCAGTGGTGGGAGAAGGAAGTCATTGTTACTCTGGAGATGTGATAAAAGAAGTAGCTTAAACTCATGGAAACCCCTAGGCTTTTAATTTGTTTGGCTGTCAAACCTGACAGATTGAGAGTCACCACCTTTCTGAGATAAGCCTGCTATGCTTGCCTGGGGTGGAGAGGAAGAGGAAATTAGTCTCTTCTCTTGAAGATACTGACCAGCTTTGATAGTAATTGTATTTTTATAGTGTTATGGCCTCTACTGGGGTACCTTAGAAAGAAGAAAGATTTTTGGTGTTAGAAAGGTGAGCTGGGAGAAAAGACGTGGCCTGACCTTACCCAGTTTTCCCTCCTCCTGGCACTTTTCCTTGTATCCTGCCTTTGCCTTTTACAAGCCCTTGCCTGAAACAGTGACCCAGTGCTATTTGTGTTAATCAGCACTCATGTAAGCTAAGGTGGGATGCCTGAAGACCAGTGCTCCCAAGCAAAGGGTAGAACAAAGTGGTAACAGCCTAGGCTAATTCTGATATAACAAATCCAGGTAGAGAACAGAAAGGCTCCTTATCCTGGAGAAACTGCCTTAATGAGTGTGCTTGTTCATCCAGGGCAACCTACTTGCTTATTTCAACTGGGATTTCTTCATTGTGTTCTCTAGACATTTGTCACTCTCCTCATCAAATCTGATACTGGATTCAAAGTCCATCGAGCCTGCAGCCCAGACCAATCGGATTACTCTGGACCTGCTGAAAAATAGCAGTAGCCATCCTGGTGATGCTTTGGAGAACAGCCACCTCCCGGAGAGTGTGAATTCCCATCGGGCTGTTTACGCCCAGAAAAAACGCAAGTCAGCTTTAGAGGCCGGCCGAGTTGGTATGGGTCCTGGACGAGTTATTGCATCCTTTCCAGAAGGCCCTGTGAATACAGTGATGAGAAAGGCACAGTCGGTTCATGACCTCATTCATGAGGGTAAGGACATGGGTTGGAATGATGATATAATTCCAAGAATAAAATTGGGAGATTTGAGCTTGAGCAGTGATTTAAACTAATCTTACATCTTTCTGCATTCTGAGCTACAGGAAGACAGTTTGCATGTCTTCCTTCTCTTAGCCTGTTAAGGGAAAACATTTCCAACTTGTCATGCAGACTCTGGTCTTGTAATTATCAGTCTCTGATATTCCTCTGGCAGCAGTGGGAGGAGGGATGCCAAGGGTGAAATGAACCATTTGCAAAGAAATCCTCTCTTACTGTAGGTGATTGCTCCAGGCCAAGACTTAAGCCCTCCAGGGTGGGGAGGGGAAGGAGAGGGGCAGTAAGAGGGAACTTGCTGTCTCTGTGCACTCTGTGTGGAAGGAGCTCCACTTTTGAAATTTGAAACTATCACCTCGTGAACCTTTAGCAAGTCCTAAGTTTGTTTTTTAGAAAAATAAACCTACTGCTGCAGCACCATATGTATGTGAGTGGATTAAAGAGAAAGGAGAGTCTTCACCTGCTTTTTCTGACTTCTCTGTTAATGATAGTAGTTTCTGAGGTCTTCTCGCCTTAAGTTTTAAGAACCAGTATCTCTAATCAGGTAGGCAACAGTGTGTGAGCAGGATGAGGAATGGGAAGGACTAGGCTGTTGAGGCTTGGTGATGTTAACCTAAATTAGTGGTTCTGTACACCTCTTCCAGGGGCTGAGCTGAGGCCCATAGGCTGGAGCAGCTCTGATGCTTCCTGATTTTGGAATTCACTGCAGACCCTTGTCTATTTTTGGTATGTTTGTCTGTTTAATTTTCACAGATAAGGGACCTGGAGTGATATCCTCTGCCAAGCAGCGTCCTCACACTCTTATGGTGGTTGAGAAAGACCCCAGAGCTAACAATTGCAGGGTGTTGTCGGCCAGTCTGTTGAAGATGGATGGATCTGGTGCTGTGCTGGCCAAAGATGTCAGGGCTGCAAAACCAAAGTCCTACATGAACCCCACGACCAGCTTCCGGGCAAAGATGTCGCGGAGCATATCTGTAGGGGAAAATCTGTACCTTGGTTACTCCACTGAAATGTTAACTGAGGAGACGACTAGCCCTCCAGTGGCGGAGAAGATGCAGCTTAGTCCCCCAGCAGATGCTGAGAAGAATAAGTTACCAGTGAGAGAAAAAGAAAATGTTCCAGTGAAGCCAGCACTTCAGCCAGCTGTAAACTGCTCATCTCCCAAGTCCTTTCATAGCAAGTTGGCATCATCAAACCGAGCACACCTGATCCTTGACATTCCCAAGCCATTGCCTGATAGACCTACACTGGCCTCCTTCTCACCCACTACCAAATCCAAAACCCTGCTTGAGCCACAGTCTCCACAGTCACCTGCTGGGGCCTGTAAAAAGAAACCTTTTCCTGAGGGCCGAGCCCCCAAGAGGGAGAATCAGACTACTGGGTCTCTGGTTCCTGGTAGAGAGATTCCTCTAGGACTTACTAAGGAGAGCCCAATGGAGAGTCTGGGCTCAAGGACAGGTTGCCAGGACGAGCCAGGGGTCACTAATCCAAGACTGCGAGAGTCTTCAGAGGGCCGACATCCAAGGTCTCCTGAGAGCGTATTGCCTAGGTACAGGGAGAGGATCACTGGCATTGCCTGCGTGCTAGATGACCAGCCTGGACTTTGCCTGCTAGACCCCATCAGGCCGAGGTCTCCTACGTCTATAACTGCCTCAGCACAGGTCTCAGGTGTGCATGGATACCCACCTCTTATCTTCCCCCTTCTGTCTCCTGTCTTTGTGAACCGCCTCACGATCCCATCACATTTCTTTACGTCCAGCTTCTGGCCTGTCTCGTCCTGTCTGCACCTGTCTCGTTCCATAAGCCATCCCCTCAATGGTGAGACACTTCTTCAGCCCGACATCTTTTTCTCAGTCTTTAATTTCCATTTCCTCTTGGTTTTATGTCTGAAGGTTTTTTTTAGCTGAATGTTTTGTGGAGCTGAGCACCCTCATGGTTTTCTTCATAAATTTACATTGTAGGGGCTCAAGCCTTTTTTGGTAAACACTGACAACGGATGTGCTGAGAATCCCCTTTGGTGTGCGTTGGCTGCGTTCCATTCAGCCCCCTCAAGGCATGTCTGACCAGCAAAATGAAAGTGCAGATCTTGTGTGTGTTAGCTGGACTTAGCAAGCACAGATAACAGTGACAGTGAAGTTAAACCAGGCAACTTGTGCTTTACTTTGTTAATGTGTGCAAGTGTGCAGGGTCCAGGAAGGTTAGCTCACATGAGCTAAAGTGTGACCAAGACAAGTTCCTTGCTGCAGCCGCCTGTGATAGCGAGGGTCTCTGTCCTGCTGTCACTTTGCTTTGAGAACGTACTGCACGCTGGGTAGGTAACGCACACACAGGCCTAGCTTTTGCGGTTGAACATAAAGAGCTTGGATTCATACAGGGCAATTTTTAAACTGTGTCTAGTTTAGACACAACTAGTAGCTGGGGAACTACCTTACCTGCTGAAAACAGCTCTTGAATCCGTTATAAGGCCCTGGTTTAAGCTACTTAAATCAACTGAAAAATTTTCAGGTAACTTCAAAAAGAAGCAAAAATCCTACCCTCCAAGGCTGCAGTCTCCAGAGATGTTTCTTTTGTGTGTCTTACAAGGAAATACACATTCCTAAAATACTCAGCTGAGTCATGCAATAGGAAGCTGGACCTTAACCATTGCACTTATGCCTTGTACATTCAGGGGATTAAACAGTGCACAAATTTTTAACCCCTTTTGCTATGTTGATCTCGTTCATGCCATTATTGCCATGTCTAAGTATGAGGCACATCTTCTGTTCAATCATCTGTGGTACCAGGCTATTCCACCTATTCTCTGCAGCAGTAACGAAAATCATTGCAGAGATGGTCCGCTTTTGATGCGCTGTTATTTTTCTTTTTGTGTTTCTAAAGGGATCAAAGGTCCTAAGATTGAAGGACTGTTATGCAAAACAAGAGATGCAGTCTTTTGTCCGAGGGACCTACTGCCCTGATCCCATAGGGTATCCATGAGTGTGTTTGAAACCCAAGCTCTCCCGCAGGGGTGAGGTTTCCTCCAACAGCAGATGCAACGTGGAGCTGTGGAATCTTGATTCTACAGCAGAGACATTAACAGTCAAGTTGTTTGTACTCTGTATGCTCAGTTTTTTCCTTGTAGGCTGAGGAGTCAAGCTGCACATCACATGATTTTTTTTTGTTGTTTTTTGTTTTTTTGGCCAGTTGCTAGGAATCCATGTTTGCAGAACCAGCACAGATCTCTGGAGAAAGGCCTGATTCTTATTTTTAAGCAGCTCCCGCAATACACAGTACATCCTGGTACGGTATTTCAGCAGCATCCTCCAGTGAGTTAGTATTGTGTCGTGCGTTGGATGCTCAGTCTTTTGTTTTGACCAGCAGACAGCAGTCAGCTTCTTGCAGGCTGCTCCCTCCAAATATTTAGTGGTAAATGCTGGAAAAGCTGTTTACATCCAAGTCTGCTATTGCTATGGACAATTTACTGTGGCTTCTATGGATCCCAGTGTGGGGGCTTAGATTAGAATTGTAGGGTTGGCAATCAGAGACCTGAAGTTCTTTAACTCTCTTCTGCTCTTGACTTGTTCTGCGACTTTGGCATTCCACTTAATTTTTCTGTCCTTCCATTTTCTTATTTATAAAACAGGTGAGGATAAGGAGACTTGATTGATTTTGTTACAGCATTTTGAGATCTACAGGTTAAAAAAAAAAGTAAGTTGTAGATGTGCTGAATACTGTTGCTTTGTTTAATATTCCCTGCTGGTTTCTGAGGTCTGCTGCCTGCTCCTGGGAGGCTGAAAATGCCTGTTACTCCAGCATTTACCTTTGTGACCTTTCTCCAGACTGATAGAGACCAGCATAAAAGCATGATCAGAAGAGAAATCCAGGAACAATCTGACAAGAAAGAGCTGTGCTTTAAATAACAAACAAACAAAAACAAAACCAGGTGGCAAGAATTTTAGACAAGAGAACTGAGGCCCCCTGCCCAAACTCTACAAAAGCTGAGTGATTCAGGGGCGAAGAACGCAGATGGAAGAACTGATTCATGTCTGTTTGTTCTTCTATATGTATTTATATAATTAGCTTGAAGCTAAGGTCCCTGCAGCCTGTCCAAAGGTGACCTTCATAGTAAGAAGCACAGAAATAACAATGCTGATGTGACCAAGTTTTATCTTTTAGGTAACTGAAGGAACTTGAATAGCGTTTGTGCAGGCCTTTGTAAACTGAAGATAACTGCAGATTATGTGTGTGTCTATGTCTTTGGTCATAATTTATGTCTAACTCATGAAAGTGTTTATTTTATTAAAGCGTTGCAGGCCTTCAGCTCTGATGACTTGGAGATAATGTCCGGTGAGGGCTGAAGGTGGTGTTTTTTCTGTTGTTTTTATTTTTGTTTTTCAAATTGTGCAAATCCTGGGTTGTCGAGAAATACAAATATGTTGTGATTGAGTTTGTTAGACAGCGCTCCTCTGGACCTCAGTCGTCATTAGAGAACACTGTAATAGCTCAGCATAATCCTTCATCCTCATAGCTCTTTGCTGAACACTCTGCAGAAGAATACATTAAGGAGAGTGTGCAGGGTTCTGAGTAGGTGGAGGCTAAATTAGGGGCTCCTCAGATCAGTCCCTCTTGCCGTTGGAATCCTTCATTCAAACTTGACTTTAATTAAAAATGAGAATGGTGTGGGTGATCTCTGACTATCCTTGACTGTAACAACATTGTGCAGTCTCACAGAAATCATTTTTGACTTTGGAGAGGCTAAAGACTAGAAAAATAGGAATGTCTGAAAAGAGAAGCATCTGCAGCTAGTGTGAAGGAAAGTTCCTGAGCTTACCTGTTTAAATGATTAGCTCAAACCAGCCCTAAAACCTGAATGAAGAGTATGCGCATGTGATCTTCCAAATATATATATTAAATTTATTGGTTTTCTTGCCTGACTGGGAGATTGCAGATACTGGAGTGTATCTGTGCCTCATCTTTTTTTTTTTTTTTTTTTTTTCTTTTCTTCCCCTCCCTCCTCTTCAGAACCTTCCATCAGCGTAGAGCAGTGTGAGCATGTGGTATCTGAGCTGCAGGACAGCATGCGCAAAGCCGTTCATCTCTACCGCATGGTGAGTGACCTCAGAGACTGGCTTTGCTTCAGCAGGCTGGCTTTAGAGACTGTGAGTGTCGAATGCGTGTGCTTGCTGGCTCAAAGTGTTCTCTTGACTGAGTGTTCAGTGACAGAATCTGCCTGGTTGTCTATTTGACTGCAACTAAGCTTGAACCTGGGAGACAGGAACTCCTGATTTCTAACTTTTGGATTTTCCAGTGGCTTGCTATGGTATTTTGAGCAAATCGATTAACTTTCTTTGCCTGTTTAGCCTGTGTGTAAACTGAAGATAACAGTATGCTCTTTTTCAAAGGGATTAGAATTAGTTAAGATTTATGCAGCGCTTCAGAGAGATGAAATACTATAGGAGCTCTAAGTTTTATTATCCAGTTCTGTTCTCAGTCTTTGATGCCTGGGAAGGGGATTAGCAAATGTGAAATACCATGGGAATCTAGCTGTGAGAGGGAACATGTAGTCATTCGCTAGTCCTCCTTACTGCCAGACCACAGTTATACGCAGAACAATATAATAGCTTTTTTTTTTTTTTTTTTTTTTGCTTAAGCACTGCTTTGTCAAGAATCCTGTAGAGTGTGAAACTTGCAGTGAGTTTCTGCTATATGTTCCTCTCTGGCTACAGTCTCGATGCGAGCCTTAGCTTTGTGACCGCTCTGTGTTCCTGTGACCAGCTGTACCTTGCAGATGGAAAGAGAAACAGACTGTGGCCCTGTGCTAGAGCTGAGAAACACAGCACCTCTTTAGGCCTAATATAAGGGGAACGCTACCCCGAAATGTGCCTCCCATGTCTATACTATTGGAGTAACGTGTCTGGTTGTTGTGTGACTAGCAATTTTGGATGCCTGCCCTGCTGTATGACAAAATTGGCAGCTGCGCGTGTTGAAGAAAAAGACACTTGAGTGGTCTGCAGATCTTGTTTATGGCTTCAGTTCCCTGAGGGACTGAAACGTCTTCCTTTGTGATCTATCTAAATACCAGTGCATCCTTCTTACTTTTTTTTCCTTTCTTTTCCTTCTTTGTTTTCAGGTGTTAAACAATACGGAGTCTTCTACTGACAAAGATAAGATAGCTGGCCTCCTGACTGAAACTTTCTCCTTAATGAAGAAAGAATTGGACTCCCTGAAGGATGACGAGGAGCTTCCAAAGGCTAAGGAGGTGCTGGAAAAGCCGCAAGATACCATTAGGCCACTGAGTGAGGGATGCAGTGCCAATCTACCCAGTCCCAAGAGTTTGGGGGATGAGCAGACGCTAGCTTTGCTGGAGCAGTACTCAGAGCTATTGCTACAGGCTGTGGAACGACGCATGGACAAAAAACTCTAAAGGGGTGGCTTTCTGGTGTTTGGATACACAGAAATAATCCCAAGAGGAGGACCACAGAAAGAGCCTCGGAGAGATGGATCATCATGCTGGTCTAGAGGTGGTGGGGAGGCCTTTATAAAGTTGATTTCCTCAGGCCCATACAAGTGACTTGCTCTAATTCTTAGCAATGTGCTGGCCACAATTTTAATAATTTTTCCCAATGCTCTTCAACTTCCTGTCTCTAGACAAAGTCTTGAAAGAGGAGTTTGGAGAAATTGCTTTGAAATTTCTTCATAGCCAGGATGTCGGGATGTTTGGCACTTAAAGAAAAATCCAGTTTAGCCAAGAAATTATGAACTGCTGACTAAAAACAAAGGAGTCCAAGTGAAGCCAATCCCTTCCACTCTAGGGCTTCATCAGAATCCAGAAGCAGACTTTTTATGTGTTTATTTATTAATTTATTTTTCTGACTGTTGCTCTGTCACAGTTGTGGCTGTTTTCTTTGTCCTTTAACAAAAAAGTCAATCCCTTTGCTATATCCCAGCGAGAAACAATCTCTATATGATAACCCCCCAACAGGGAGACAGGCTGGAGTGTCTGTGCAATTACTGAACTGGTTTCTGCTTAAATCTTGTCTTGCTGATCTTTCTTTTCCTGCCTTAGTTTGTTACCTGCAGTAATTCTACTGTTGTCATGACTACCCTGTCTGCTTTCCCCTTGTTTCAAGGGCAGTCCCCACACTATATTTTATCTGCATTCACCTCCAGGGGAGAATTTTGCAACCCTTGGACCAAGCTTTGGAGATTATTTAATGAGATCAGTATTGGAATTTTAACCTGAAATTTGACATTATAGTGATATACCGAGTTTTTCTGCAGCCACCCTAAAAAGGGGATGTAGATGTAAGTATGAAAGTTCATTTCAGCCACCTTTCATGATTAGGAACTGCACATTGACTTTAATGTTACCATGGCTCTGGGAAATTTGGGGGCGATGATTTATTTAAGTGGTGGCATGGAAAACCTGGTTTCCATTCTTTACAGCATAAATCTGGATGTGAGAAATCTTCAGTGCAACTACTACTCCATATAATTTGTTGATTTCACTGCCTTGATAGGAGAACGCTTTCTTCTTGCTTTTCCAGAGAAACAGAGTATTTACATCCCAAGAAAGGTGGGATTCTATTTACTGCCTTTTGTAAAGCTATTTCAGCTACCCACAGAAAATGGTCTGCCAAGGACTTCAAACAAGATATTTTGGGATGTGTTTACTACTGTTTTTCCTCTTTGACTTTTTCATGAAGTTCTTGACTGAGAAACAGAAAATATTCCCTCCTTGAATTTGTGTGTGCAATACTCTTCTCATCCTGTGGGACTTCTCCAAGCTGATGCTAACTTGTGGTGTTATAGCTTAAAACTGTCCAGTGATGACTTTGGTCAATGATAACAAGCTAAGAAAAAAAATCAAAACAATAAAACTCTTCAGCACCTTCCCCTTTACTCCCCCTCCTTTTCCCAGTGGGGACAGATGCACAGACTGCTTTATTTCTTCCTTCATCTCCATTCTTTCTTGTATTTAAGACAGAGCAGTACAATCCCAGTTTATGAAACGAATGCAAGGAAGCAAGAAGCTTTTGGTGGGTGAGAGAATGCTGGCATCCGTAGGAGACACTTAAAGGGAGCCAGACTGCAACATGTTGTTCCACAGGTTAAAGGCTTGAAGCATTTTCTTTTACGTTACTGTTCTGGCTGGTTTGGCCATTCTTTGAAACCCTGTCGCACTCTGAACTGTGATCTGTTGACTAACTTGGTTTTCCTGCCTTTCTGTGACTGGAGATCTGCAGTGCAGCCTTTTTTACTACTGGGCTGGGCAGGCTGGTATCGGATGACCTTTTTCTTCAATATACTCCAGGGCTGAGGAATCTGCAGTTCTTGCTCTCCCACCGCAGGTTTGTTGGCTGGTCATATTTGCTGGGTGCTTCAGGACTTGGTAGGATGGGGAGCGCTTTCAGAGCTTTCCAGCCACTTCTGTCTGTAATTTCAGTCTGCCTAATCAAAATGTTTTGGGTGTTCTTGCTAACCTTTTCTCCGTGGGGTTGTACTGAAACTTTGAAAGTGCTATCTTCTAGTCCTATTTTAGCATTGCATTGTGCTGAATCAGGTTAGGTGCTGGCTTTCATGGGCAGTGTCTCTTGTGGAGAGAAGTTTTGCAAAGGAGGACAAATTGAAAAGTGGAGGAAATTTCTGGGAATTTCCTTGAGTGAAGAGGTGTGTTGGAGATGCTGCAAGTGGGATGTATGATGGCAGTCATGTTGGCTCTGTGATAGGGTTAGTCTGGGTCAAGCTTGTTTTTGAGGTGATTTTTTTCTTCATCCACTTTCAGACTGTGAACATATGTCCCAGTACACAGGAATTTTTTTTGCTGTACTGGGACCACAAGACACTCAGGTAAAATAGCAGTCCCTTCAACCCAGGTATCTTTTGGTATTGAAGATAATGGCTTGAGGGTCTTTTATATTACTTCCCTGTGCAATTTTATTCCATTTTATTGTTTAAAGTATAAGGTAGTGACAAAAGGGATCAGAGATAATACAGGAGAGCGAGTGGCCAGAATGAACAGATCATGTTTCAGTTCTCATCAAGGTGAAAAGCAACAACCAGTAAAGCTGACATAGAGAAATGAAACAAAGTGCCTTGGAAATAAGTCACATCAAGCAAATCTGATTTTTATGCTGATCAGAGGGTTTTTTTTTTTTTTGCTTCGTAGAATGGATTTGGCCTGTGGTCATGGCTGCATATGAGAAACAAACGAGGATAAATTCTGATCAAAATGATGGTAAGAGAGGTGCCAAGCAAGTAGATTAGTTGAGTGGTGGTGGTGTAATTTAAAGTAAATTAGAATAGTAGATGTAGGACATTCAGGAAAACAGATTAGAAGTAGAGATAGTGTTGGCTTGAGGAACACCATTGGCCAATACCTATGAAAGATATAGTACGTGAAGGCTTCAGGAAAGTAGATTTAGGACAGAGTTGGTGATCTATAATTGAAGAATGAGTTGGATGGTTGTTTTAAAGATGCCTAACTTGGCCTCGTTTCTGTACTTGCTGTCCTCTAAGCAGCTGTGTCTTTAAAGGCAAAGTTGTGAACTGTTTGCCCAAGGCATACGTGTTATGAATTAAGTAGTAGAAGCCTTAAAGAAAATGCTACTGCCACAAGTTTGTTGATGAGAGGGATAAGGATGCAACTGATTCTTCCGGGTGACTTCCTATTGCTGGCAATAGGAAATATTCTTAAAAATTCCAGTTTACAACACTAAGAGGGCATGACAGTGTTACATTTGGTTACCCCTAGTGAGTATGTTTCACCACAAGCTGTCCATTTGGTCAGGTAGAGAAATACTGAATTGTAATTGCCTGGAAAGTGAGGAGCTTGTGGGAGAAGGTAATATTTGAATCCATTTCTTTTGCTGGTGCCAGTGGTTGTTAACGTAGGCACAACCAGATGTTCACCCCTTTACATACGTTCTGTCCCTCCTGTCCAACATTCCTGGCCAAAATGAGAAGAGTTGTTTTTCATCTCGACTGTAAATAGTTTCCCTCTGCCTGAGGGACCCGGTGTTTCGTTCTTTGGCCTGTAAAGTGGCACAGTAGGAAGCGCTGGAATGGAGAAGGCAGCAACCCCTCTGTTTTTATCCTGCTGCGGGCAAGTAACTCCTTCCTCCCCAGCACCCAGAGGTGGTGCTTCCGTGAGTCCCGGTTTCTTCCACACCCTCTCTCAGGTTGTCTCCTCTTTTCTATAGCATCTCCCAGGTAATGGTTGGGGCAGGCCTTATAGTGCCCGCCTTCCCCCCCTTTTGCTGATTTCATCACACCTCAGAGGAATGGGGACATTTCTCTAAAGGAGTAGAAACATACAAACTTAATTTTTTTAAAGAAAGAATATGTATATAATTATATATAATAAAAAAAATCAAATACAGGTATTTAAGCACCATTGGTAAATTCATGCATGTATAAGGTCATCCCCTCGCTCCCCCCCCCCTCGCATTGGATGTGTAGCATCCAGGATATTAAATGACAAACCTCATTAAAATTATAATGAAGGCAGGTCGTCTTGCAGCCCTTGAGTGCTGGCAAGCAGGTGGTTCCTTCTCTAGGTAAGACTAGACTGTCCAATATTTCAAATTGTGTGTTGTAAATAATACACGGGATTGGACTCCGTATGTGTATGGATAACCTGCTGTAACGCATGGACAGGGAAATGCATGGGGCAGCAATTTTAGGAATAAGCCATGTCCACTCTGCATGTCTTGCGTATGCCATAGGCACCAGACGGATAACTACATGTGTTCTTCAACACTACCCTTTTCTTTCACCAGTTAAAAAAGAAAAAAAAAAACCCACACCCTTCCCCCTTTATTTATAAACGTGTGTTTTTATACTTTTGGCTTTAGGTAAAACAACTCTTTAAAATGTCTTTTTTTAATTATTTGAAAAAAATTTGTTTGTTTGTTGGGTTTTTTGCACTGTGAGGCTTCCCTCTGGGAGCTGTTTTTAACTCTGTATTCATTTGTACTCCGTGTCTTAAAACTGGTTCAATAAAAATGTGATCATTTGTTACAGAGCTGTCCCGCAGCCTCTCGCAGCTTCTTCGGGGGGAGCGGGAGAGCGACCACTCCCCCTTAGTCGGACTCGCTCGGAGGGTGCAGGATTTCGTATCTTCCTCTAGCTACTCTTCCTCATCTGTAATTTCTGCCCCTTTCCGAGGGTGTGTGTTTA